GTGCGTGCGTGCGTGCGTGCGTGTGTGTGTGTGTGTGTGTGTGTGTGTGTGTGTGTGTGTGTGTGTGTGTGTGTGTGTGTGTGTGTGTGTGTGTGTGCGAATAGTGCGACTGAATGTAATGGAAAGCCGCATTGGACAAGGGTGATGTACTCACAGCTAATAACATGATATCAGTACCATCGAATGCATACAGTTGCAATCTTTGCGCACGATTGCACTTTTCCCAGGCCACTGCATTTTTGCGATCACGCCACGGGCAGGCAGACCACAGTTCGCAATGTGCCTGCAAAGGGTGATTTGGACTAAAAAAGGCACGAGTTGTGATGATATGATGACTCAATTGATGGTCAATATTACTGCTATAAAGAAGTCCAGTAAAGAGGGCTACACCCGCCCCCGAATGATTCAAAGTATCTTGAATTGGACGATGTATCTTTCCAAATCGCCAGTGAGGACGCGAGGCAGTCTTGCGTGAGGCTCTTGCTGTGTCGTCCGAATAAAATGAAAACCCGAAACGGACCGATGTGGTGTACTGGCAGCTGATAGCTTTGCGCCAGAGCTATCAAATACACACAGTCGCGCCCTTTTTGCTTGATCATATCTGTTTTTTCCCGTGCCGAAAGCAGTAAAGCGCCGCCAATAAGTGATGTTAACAAGAAAGATTCTGCTGACCGGCGAACGATGTACATTGCCTGCCAATGGTACTCCCACCATTACATCGTGTGCACATTGCTGCCGCCGGAGTGCACAACTTAAAGTATTCTAAATTAGACGCCTTAGCTTTGTAAATCACCACTGCGGCACGCTCACAACCATTGAGTGCTCACAACCACAATCACTGTCTGGGTGCCGACAGAATAAAAAAGCAAACTAGAGTCGGACGGTGTTGTTGTACTGGCAGCTGAGATCCCTACGCAACATCTATCGAAAGAGCGCATACACACTTTTCACTTGCGATTGAAATAAAATCTTTTGCCGGGCCGTTGCAGCCTGGCCATGTTGCCCCCAGCGGGCAGTCACTCCTAACGAGGTGCCATAAAGGGGCGATTTGAACAAAACATGTCATTCCGGCAGACGAGCGATTTACATTTCTGGCCAACAATGCTTCCACGATTTCACCGTGTGCAGACGTTCTCGCCTGCCGCGAAATGTTTTTGTCGCGGTTTCGTAAATTTCGCAATTCGCTGCTGCGGTCGTCCCGCCAGCATTCAGTAAGACAGTGTCGGAATGTCGGCTGAATACGACTGAAGCTGCAACCGGACCGGTGCCTCGTGCTGGCGAGTGGTAACCCCTCACCAGCGGTGCCTCGTGCTGGCGAGTGGCAACCCCTCACCAGCGGTGCCTCGTGCTGACGAGCGGTAACCCCTCACCAGCGGTGCCTCGTGCTGGCGAGTGGTAACCCCTCACCAGCGGTGCCTCGTGCTGACGAGTGGTAACCCCTCACCAGCGGTGCCTCGTGCTGGCGAGTGGCAACCCCTCACCAGCGGTGCTCGTGCTGACGAGCGGTAACCCCTCACCAGCGGTGCCTCGTGCTGGCGAGTGGTAACCCCTCACCAGCGGTGCCTCGTGCTGGCGAGTGGTAACCCCTCACCAGCGGTGCCTCGTGCTGACGAGTGGTAACCCCTCACCAGCGGTGCCTCGTGCTGGCGAGCGGTAACCCCTCACCAGCGGTGCCGAATGCGCACCGTCGAACTCTTGCGCGCGAATATGGTGATGTATCGCGGGCCGACGCAACCTAGCCGTCATGCGAGAGTCAAGGGTGTCAGAGTCAAGGATATGAGAAGAATGCAGTCTAAACCAGAATCGGACGACTGTGTAATAATGCCATCTGGATGCCCTATAACAGACATATTAAGTGTACGTAGTCGCACACTTAGCACGTGATTTCAAGTATTTTATTGGGCCGCCGTATTTCGGCCATCGCCCAACGGAAAGGCAGTAGTATCCGGAGTTAGTAACGCCACTTAACTGAGCGCTTTGTGCAACTAGGCTTGCCGACCGATGAGTGATTTACATTACCGGCTAATAGTGCTGTCCCAGTGAGATCGCCTGCACATGGCGGCGCCCGCCGCGCACAACTAAAATAATCTTGAATATGTCACCGTACCGCTGCAAATCACTGGTGCGGCCGACTCTGCAACATTGAGTGAGACGTTGTAGGGGTTCGGCCGGATGAAATGGAAACCAGAAATCGATGTATGTGCCATTTGCCATGCTGGCACCTGATAGCTCTATACCACTGTTAACGAAAACACGCGGTCAAACCATTCCTGCGAAAATATATCTTGTGGCCCTGGAAAATGTTGTTTTTTTCAACGCGCGGCAAGGAATGCATCTGTGTCCATTCGATAGCGCGTGTTAAGTGCGAACACATGCATACGATGTCATAATGGGAGCACATATGGCCGGCAACGTCAAATGGCTGGGTTCACCGCACTCAACACAAATGGACTGGCCTCAAAGGCGGCTTGCAAAGGAACGTCGTCGACTTTTAAATGATTTTAGTCGTCTAGGGCTGCTGCAATTTTGTGTACACGACAGTATTGTCGGAGCACTCTCGGCCGACAATGTAAATTGTCTATCGGCTAACATGACATTTCTTGTTTAAATGACACCTTGGCGGCGCTGTATTGCAAACTAGGTCTGGCCTGCCCACAGTGTGATGGTCGAAATGCTGCTGCCCCGGGAAAAATGCTTCTAATCGTTTTCAAGAAGTTCGACTTTATGTATTGGATAGCGCTGGTATAGGGCTATCAGCTGTCAGCACTGTACACTAGTCTCAAAAGGAAATTCATTATATTCGGTGGACCGTCCAGCAGCGCCTCACTCAATGCTGGTGTCCATTTGAGCCGGCATTTTAGAACTTAATGGCTGCCGCTTGAAACTTTTTCGAGCCATGTGTGGCGAGGATAGCAATGTGCTCACGATTTCATTGCAGGAACACTTTTAGCGAACCACGTCAATCATTCATCACTCAACGTGACCTTATCTATTCAAATCAGTCATTTAAAGCGCATTTATAAATGGGACACGTGGGCATTGCTAGGCGCAATACTACATGCGGCTCGTGAAATGCCCGTAAAGTGAAAGCAAGAACGCTGTGGCCCGGGGAAGAATATATATGAACGCCCACAGATAGTATGACTGTTCGCATTGGATAGTGCTGGAATATGGCTAGCAGCTGCCAACACAACACGCTTGTCCGGTTTTTCAGTCGACCCGCCTCCCCACACAGCTACGCAACTCATATTGTCGTGCCGAAAGTAGCAGCGATTTGCAGAGATTCGACGCCAAATCTGAAATACATTTGATTGTGCTGGGCAGATGCAACGAACCGCACACGCCGTTGTCGGAGCACGGTCGGCTGACAATGTAAATTACTCGTCGGCCACATGACCTGTCTTGTTTGGACAACCCCTTAAGGCGCCTGCTGAGAGCGGCCTGCCTGCTTGCAGCGTGATGACTAGACTACGGTGGCTGGGGAAGAATGCTACAATCGCACGCGAAAAGTTCGGTGGTGTGTTTTCCAAAGCGCTGGTGTGAGGCTATCCACTTCCTGTTCAACACACTTGTCGGATTCTGGACCCTACTTCATTTAGCCGACCCTCTGCCCTGACAGCGTTTCACGTGCTGACGTTTTAGCCGTAGCTGCAAATTGCAAGCTGTATAGCGTCCAATTCAAAATACTTTTATTCGTGCCCGATGGGTATGACCTTGTCCACACATGTCGGCGCTGATGTCAGCGCTGAGGCACTATCGGCTGACATCAGTAACGCATCGTGCGGAATAGCAGTTTTCATTGGAATCAACTTTTTGCGGCGCGGTGCCAGCTGCAGCCGGCCTGCCCGTGGCTTGGTCAGTCTACAGTGGCCCGTGACAAACCCTTAGGATGGCCCTGAAAAATCCTTCGAATCGCCGTTAACAGTACGATTGAGTGCATTCGTTAGCACTGACATAGTGTGGTTACCTGTTAGTACCACGTGCTTGTGCGGTTATGGTTTCTATTTTATTCGGTTAACCCCCCCAGTGTCTCCCTCAACGGCCGGCCGGCTGGAGGCCGGCCGTAATGACATTTGCGAAGTTAGGGCATCCGATTAAAAACATTTGGAACTGTGCGGCGGGCGTGACCATGCGCAAACAATGCGACTGAGGGATCACTAAAGACAGGTAGTGTAAATCGCTCATCAGCTGGCTTGGCTTCATTGAATGCTGGCGGACCGACCGCAGCGGCTATTTGCAAAGTTACGTCGTCGAATTCTAAATAATACTGGTCGGCGGCGGCGTATGCAACCATGCGCAAACGACAGGAGCATTGTTGGCCGACAATGTAAATCGTTCATCGACATGTCCTTTTTCGGTGTTAAAATTACGCCTTGACGGTGTATTGCAAACTCGTTCGGCTGCCCGGATCGTAAGGGTCATGATGCTTCGGCTCGTGAAAATAGCTATAATCGTGCGCAATAAATGCGAATGTGTGCATTTGATAGGACTGGTATAGGGCTGTGAGCGGCAGTTACAAAAGTTTTGTCATATTCTGGTTTTTACATTATGGCCGAATCCCTGCTGGTGAATGATATCACCGGACCCGATGGTGATTTCCGAAAATGCGTGCCTTCCCACACTTTTCGTCTTCAGATCTTCATTCCTTGTCCAGCCTAAGGCGACCGGCCTACAAGTTCCGACAGTAACAAGCCAGTTGTATGTGTGGGGGGGGGGGGGGTACGGTCACCTTTCTACTCTTCTACTCTCGAGTACAATACACCCTCCATCGATGTAGCGATCTAAAAACTTGAAGTGTCACGTTGTTTGACTAAAGTAGCGGAATTATCTCTCAAACAGAGCAATTTATGTTATATTTGCCGTGGTTGAGATTTTTAATCAAAGGTCGACCATAAATAGAAATTTAGTACTAAGAACTCTTAAATCGAAAAACGCGCACTTGTTCCAAAACTTGCGCAGAGATTCTTTCATAAGCCCGCAGACCCTAGGCAGATAGCCCGTCGATCGTCTGGAGCCTGCCAGCCCCAATGTCTTGAAATTGAGGTACATGCGCGGCTGCTCTTCAGTCGTAATATTTTGTTGTGCATTTAGTGCATGTTGTGTGGTGTCAGAGGCTTCTACCATGGACCCAGAAGACATGGAAGTTGAAAGTGGTAATCCGTCAAACGTTTTGAATCACAATCATGATGTAATCAAGGAACGATTCAAATATTTCAAGAGAAGAAAACCGCCACCAGATCTTTCACAAGTCATCGATTTTGATCATGCCACAGCTGAAGCTTCTTTGGTGAGTAGCATAGTGAGGCAATCATTTATTCGGCGTTACAATATTAGACATGTTCAAATACTTTCTCAAACACTTTCAGGTACTCAGTTCAGAAAGATGCTCAGGCCTCAGGTTGAAACTAGGCCTACAGTGTACAAAATGTTTTTGGTTGTATCAGTTAACTTTATTTTGGATCATGTTTGATAATTATTGTCATGCCATAACATGAGGTGTAGTACATCCAGATTGCAAAAAATACATTATATACAAATATAAGTACGGGGCAATTTCGTGCTGAGCATGAACAGTCCTGTAACAGTCACAGTCCAGATGCAGCATGAATCCAGGACCCCTGAGTTTGTTGCATGCTTTTTCATTAGTGTAAGTGTGTATGGAACCAATTTTGCAAGGGATTATGATGTTGCATGGCGAACTTTGAGCAAAAAGACACAAATTTCAAGCAGAAATAATTTAGAATGCAGCATTATTTGGCCTCATCTCAGTTTGGTGCATACATGTACCATGTATTTTATACCTGAGAATACATGTTGAGTACATATTGCCCTAGTGGCCAGGGCCTTCATATTCCACCATAAGCCACATGAGACACACAAGCTGAAATTTTAGGTGAGCAATGGTGAATAGGTAATGATATGGAAACTGACCATTGGTGCATAAGAAAATCAATATGCATGAAAGGGTGTGAGGTGATGCTATGTCCTGCATTAATTTTTTTAGTAGCAAGTTTAAACTCTCTTTGGATTGGTGTCTGACCTAATTAATTTATGCATAACATGTTCAAAGTAACTTTTCCTGCATTATCTTATGCCCCAACATTACTTTCAGGGAAGTGTGGTGCCATACCAGCTTAATTTCTCAGAGGACAAAGATGTCCTTCAAGAGTGTGGATTGACAAATCCAACAGAGTGGAAGGCTTTCACCCTTAGCACTCATCCAGGTAAAGTGGGATGTGGATGTTCTTATGATCACAGCTGTATTCTTATGAGGTACTAGTTCTATTACAATCATCTGACTAAAATAAGGCAACCAAGGCTATTATGAAAGTCTGTTGCTGATGTGTCAAAGGATGTACATGGTTGCATGATGCAGAAATAATGGCTGAGTGAGTAGGATTTATAGTACATGTCTGCTGCTCTTTTCACATCCCGCCTAGTTCAGTAATAATGTTGTATGACAGATGAGCCTGGCAGTGGCACATGTTTGTCACCTGCTGATGAGGCTTGATATGTGCAGGTTTGATTGTAGACAGGCTTGGATGCCCATCCACAGACTACAGCCTTGCATCAGCAGATTTATGTCAGTAATACTGCATGGGTGTTGCATTTTCAGGAGCACCACATCATGCTTTTGAGAAGCTTCTTTGCATTTACAGGGCTGATTTTTATATGCAACCCATTCACTGCCTCTGGTCAGCGTCACTGGGCAGGGCGGTGCCTTCGTGACCTGCCCTGCCACCCAAACAGAACCAACCTGGATGCTCAGGGCCTCCTACAGCCTGGAGAAAACTGGTGGAAACTCTGCATGGAGTAAGTGGATCTCATCTTCAGTAATATCACAATTTGTGCCAATTACCAAACTTCATGTCAGCAATGACCTCAAACTCTAATCTCAAAATTATAAGTTCTTGAAAACATTTGATGTCAACTAGATTATGACATACTGGTTACATTAGATAGTGTAATGCTGTAGGCATGGTTAGGAGTGAATTAGTTTTAGCAAAACATCTGGGAATTTTGTTAACTTTGCATGTGTTACCATGTTAAAGGTGAGGTTTGTTTGTTGTTTATTTGCTTAACCTTGTTCCCCTTTGCCAGCAAAGCTTCATCATTTTGAACACAGCTTTAAGAGGACAGGTTTTGTCAATATCATCAACTCTTGCTTGATAATGTTGTTTCGTCAGTGCCTCCTTAGTCCTGACACATTGAAAGCCAATGATTTTCAGCATAATAAGGACTTTCAGCCCATTGTGTCCTTTCTTAAGCTCAGGCTGTTTAAATTTTCCTCTTTCAAATCTGATGCCCACTGTTTTTTCTGCTGGTCACTCTCAGGTATGGAAAACCTTGCCCTTGCCGTTCCCCTCACGCACCCCGGACGCACCCTGTCGCACCCTGTCGCACCCTATCGCACCCTGACACAGCCCTGCTTCACCCCTGTTGCACCCCTGCCATACCCCTGCAGCACCCCTGACACACCCCTGTCTGCAGTGGTGCTGGCGGATCGCTGATGAAGAAGCTGCGCTGGGTCACGCTCGGCTTCCACCACGACTGGCACTCCAAGGTACGGATGGCGGAACGGTCCTCCCCGGGACGCGAGTCAGTGCGCTCTGGCTTCGGCTGGTCTGGTGGCGTGGCGCCAGCTGTGGGATCACGTGACATCTCTGAAGGTGCCTGGGCAGCCAGTGCCTCACTGGTGTGACAGTGTGAGTCATCATCGGAGGTGTAACATTATCCGCGACCGTGTAAGGCCTTTCTTGAAAACATCAGGATGTTTTCATACTGGTATGTATGACGTAGAATATGCTACAGGGTATTACATGATCTTGAAATGAAATTAGGTAAATGGCTATTTTAAAAACCTTCTGCTTTTTCCTCTGAGGAAAGTCTGAAACACATGGTACGGTAGTGTGCTTTGAACAAGTTAGTTTTTATGCTAAGGTGTTATCACTCAAAACAATCGATAACTACCATTTCACCGGCCGGAGAACGAGTGTCATGCCTACACCGCATTGAACTTGCTCCCGTGCGCGCGTGCACCGAGCAGTGCTGCTGCACTTTCGTGAGACACGTGACTACCGTATGGGGCGTCACGGCCTGCTCGGTGGACCCGCCTACGCCGCCGCAGTGTCCTGACCCTGACCCTGACCCGACCTATACGCCGCCCGACCCTCCAGCTGTACAACATGTGCGACCGGTCGCCGTTCCCGGCCGACCTGGCGCGGCTGGCGGCGCTGCTGGCGCGCTGCGTCGGGTTCGCCGACTACGCGGCCGAGGCGGCCATCGTGAACATGTACCACGCCGACTCGACGCTGGCGCCGCACACCGACCACTCCGAGTGGGACATGACGGCGCCGCTACTCTCGCTCAGGTCAGACAGAGTGGCGAGGCAGATGGGGTGAGAGTGGAGAGAGAGAGGTCTTACGTAGTGTGGCAGGGCGTTGCCTTTTTTTGCCTCCTCATCGTGGCGTTGGAGCACATTAATACTTGGACTGTTTTCTGATCACTAACTACTCGTCAGATGATGTAGTTGTGTGGATTAATAACGTACCACGTCTTACTGTGGCGAGATTAAGACACAACAGGACATATTCAGGTGTGTTCTCCATTTGCCAGAATTGCCTTTGCCCTTCCAGTTTCGGGCAATCGGCCATCTTTCTCCTGGGCGGCGAGGACCGAGCCGACGCGCCGGCCGCCATGTTTGTTCGCAGCGGCGACGTCATCATCATGGCGAACCAGTGCCGCAAGAGCTACCATTCGGTGCCGCGGATCCTGTCAGCTGGTGATGCTCGGTGCGTTTCAACTGAAATAGTCTCAATGAAGGGGCTAATGCCGAAAAAATGGTGTGTACTCGTTTGTTGGTTAAGGGCATTTCACGGTACACTTCGCTGCTAAACGGTCTTATATTGCATACATGACCTAGCCGCCCAGCTTCTTATTGTGTACTGTTGTGCTTGAACACTATTCAGAGTGCTTGAGATTACGCCCACCTGCGCGTGCACACGACCTGCACATTGCCAAGACGTCACCTTAGCGCAGTCGGTATGTCTTGCTAACTCAGGTACACATTTCTCCCTACAGATGGCACGACAGTAAGCGCAAGCGGTGCGGCGGCTGTGACACGCTGCGGGTAGCCTCTCCCAAGCAGGCGCGGCATGCGGGCGCGGATGCCGAGCCGCGCTGCTCTCCCGGCGCCATTCTCTGCGAGTGTGACGTCACAGAGGCCAGCGGTGACGTCACGGCAGAGGAGGGCGACCCGGTGGCGGCCTACTTAGGCCGCAGCCGCATCAATATCAACGTGCGTCAAGTGTTCCAGCGCGGCCAAGTTCTTCATGGTGAGACGCACTAAGACGCTGTGCGAGTGAGCGAGGGAGAGCGACTGGGGAATGGCCGCATGATGTGACGTCATTGGTGCCAGCTGCGCCTGTGACGCGGCATGCGATGCTGGCCGAAGATCTGGGTGCTGGCTGTGTCTGTGACGCGACGCGCGATGCTGGCCGAAGGTCTGGCTGCTGGCTGTGCCTGTGACGCGGCGTGCGATGCTGGCCGAAGATCTGGGTGCTGGCTGTGTCTGTGACGCGACGCGCGATGCTGGCCGAAGGTCTGGCTACTGGCTGTGTCTGCGACGCGGCGTGCGATGTTGGCCGAAGGTCTGGCTGCTGGCTGTGTCTGTGACGCCGCGCGCGATGCTGGCTGAAGGTCTGGCTGTGCCTGTGACGCCGCGCGCGATCCTGGCCGAAGGTCTGGCTGCCGAACTTCTAAGTGAAGTCCGGTGTGATTGCTCGCCTTTACGAGATTTGATGCTACAATCGCAGCAGCGGGGTCCGTAGACTGCGCCGCCGGTGGCCCAAAGGGCCGGCAGCAACCCATTGCCCGCCTTGTGAACACAAACTGCGACCTGGTGCGCCACGGTTTGCGGGTGTCGCGCGTTGTAGCCCTCTGAGGCGACCTGTCTGTGCTTGGGCTGTGCTGTGCTCCTGGCAGCGACTTGTTCGTGGGGATCCGTCCATTTTGAAGTGACTGTCACTCCTGGTGCTCGGCCGCCACGTGTTACGCACGCCACAGACTGCCCCACAAATGTATGTTGCGCCCGCCATCGAACGTGACGAAGGGACGTGACTGCGCTCGCTTCTGGTGGTACTGGAATGGCAGCGTATTTCTTTAGCTGGGATTCGCTTTGGTTCGCCTCGGCCCGGAGCTTCACTCGTCTACTGGTGATGGTGTGCTCTGCTCAGCTGTTGGCCACGAGGCGAGCTACTGCGAAGCCGTGCTCGCCCGCTCAGCCGCGTGCAGTGGGCTGTGATACTGAACATATAACATCTTGCTCCAGCAAAACGAAATATTCCCCGGAGATCACGTCACTTGTGCCACATGCCCATAAAACGCCCACCTTCAGTATGCAGCATAAAGGTGTCCATGCACGCACGAAGCTTGCGGTAGCGACAATAAGCTCGACAATGTATATTGTGCCAATATTCTCATTGCTCGGCGCTTGCAGCCATCACGTCCTGCTGACGTTTAATGCATGTAGTATTACACGGTGCCGCGGGACAGTGTTGAGCTCTCTTCTTAGATGTAGATAGATTTATGTCCGTATGTTTTCATCGAGGGCCGCAGTTTGTTACGTTGTACTGAATTATATCTCCACGCAAGCCGCATTGCAATACAAACTGCCAAGTTCAAGTGTTGGTGATTGTATTGGACCTCCCAATCGCACTGCAGCACGGCGCGGCAAGTCATCAAGTGTCCCCACCCCAGCGCATGTCCGACTCAAAACTCACTGCCAGCGGCGTGCTGACAAAACGCGGCATCCACCACCCGCACGCGCACATCAGCGACTCGATAACATCGCGGTCAGTCCCGCCAGCCCGAACCGCCGAGCCGGCCCGGGTGGTGCGCCGGCCGGCCGACCTCGCGACAAGGCCCGTGGCCAGCGGCAGCTCCGGCCCGGGTGGTGCGCCGGGCGGCCGACCTCGCGACAAGGTCCGTGGCCGGCGGCAGGTCCGGCCCGGCGCCTATATGGGGTTCTGCTCGCGGTAGTGCTTCTGAAGTCTGTTCGCCTTCACCCCGAGCCGCATGTGGTCCCGCATCTGGTGACGCCGCAGCACCTGCATGTCGCGCGCCGTCCTGAAACGGCGCCCACGGGCGCGGCCCGGTCAGGTCAGGTCAGGTCAGCCGGCTCAGCTGTCCAGCCGTCGCGGCACGGCGGCTGGACGACAGGTTTTGCTGCACGGTGAGGGCCGCGCAGCGATTCAGCACATCACTTTCCAACATGCTGCTGACGCGGTGAACACATCGTACAGCGTGGATCCTTACTCAAGCACGATCCAAGTACGCACGACATCCGTACGCGCATTCCTCAACACTGGTTAGTCTACTGACTTTTTCAGCTGCTCCTTGGAGGAGCCTGTCCAGCCCATCAGCCGGTACTGGTGGAGCACGTCGCGCGCGGTGGTGGCGCCCCCTGTGCGGCGCAGCGCCACGGCCTTCTCCGGCCGCAGGTGTTGCCTGCGCGCAGTGAGAGCCGCGCGTCAGCAGGGCGGTCACAGACAGGGCCGCACGTCAGCAGGGCGGTCACGGACAGAGCAGTGCGTCAGCAGGGCGGTCACGGACAGAGCCGCGTGCCAGCAGGGCGGTCACGGACAGAGCCGCGTGCCAGCAGGGCGGTCACGGGCAGAGCAGTGCGTCAGCAGGGCGGTCACGGACAGAGCCGCGTGCCAGCAGGGCGGTCACGGACAGAGCCGCGTGCCAGCAGGGCGGTCACGGGCAGAGCAGTGCGTCAGCAGGGCGGTCACGGACAGAGCCGCGTGCCAGCAGGGCGGTCACGGAGAGAGCAGTGCGTCAGCAGGGCGGTCACGGACAGAGCCGCGTGCCAGCAGGGCGGTCACGGAGAGAGCTGCGCGTCCGCAGGGCGGTCACGGACGGAGCAGTGCGTCAGCAGGGCGGTCACGGACTGAACCGCGTGCCAGCAGGACGGTCACAGACAGAGCCGCGTGCCAGCAGGACGGTCACGGAGAGAGCTGCGCATCAGCAGGGCGGTCACGGACAGAGCCGCGTGCCAGCAGGGCGGTCACGGAGAGAGCTGCGCGTCAGCAGGGCGGTCACAGACAGAGCCGCGTGCCAGCAGGGCCGTCACGGAGAGAAAGCCGCGCGTCAGCAGGGCGGTCACGGACAGAGCAGTGCGTCAGCAGGGCGGTCACGGACAGAGCCGCGTGCCAGCAGGGCGGTCACGGACAGAGCCGCGTGCCAGCAGGGCGGTCACGGGCAGAGCAGTGCGTCAGCAGGGCGGTCACGGACAGAGCCGCGTGCCAGCAGGGCGGTCACGGACAGAGCCGCGTGCCAGCAGGGCGGTCACGGAGAGAGCTGCGCGTCAGCAGGGCGGTCACAGACAGAGCCGCGTGCCAGCAGGGCCGTCACGGAGAGAAAGCCGCGCGTCAGCAGGGCGGTCACGGACATAGCAGTGTGTCAGCAGGGCGGTCACGGACAGAGCCGCGTGCCAGCAGGGCGGTCACGGGCAGAGCAGTGCGTCAGCAGGGCGGTCACGGACAGAGCCCCGTGCCAGCAGGGCGGTCACGGAGAGAGCTGCGCGTCAGCAGGGCGGTCACAGACAGAGCCGCGTGCCAGCAGGGCCGTCGCGGAAAGAGCCGCGTGCCAGCAGGGCGGTCACGGAAGTCACTGAGCGCACATCTCGCTGGAGCTCGGAGCACGGAGGGCATGCCTTGCGTCGGGGCGCGCAGTTGTTGGACGCGAGCCACACGTCAGGCACGAACTGAACGGGACGCATGCTGCACTGAGGCCACCCGACTAGTGCTGTACCTCGTCCCCGCCACGAACAGCGCTTGGGTTTGCATCGCTAACAATCACAGACCCGCACAAGTCAGCCCCAACAGCCCCAAAGGCCATGGTGGCCAATTTATGTCACTCCTCCAGTAGCTAATACGCAAACGTGCAGTATCTGGCCCCTACATCCTTACCATCTGCCCAGCACAAATACACCGCAGTCGTGGCGTAACACTGATCGATGCAGGTGCAGCATCGGACCGCAGCAGCACCCGATCTGCGTTCGGGCGCCGGTGCCTGACCGGCGTACCTATAGTATCTGGCGAGCGCGCGGTGTCCGACCACGGCGCCGGAGGGCAGCACCAGCTGGAAGCCGTCTGTGTCCAGCGTCAGCGGCTCCGGCCCGGTCGCCTCCTCCCCTTCCTCGCCGACCGGGTACGACGTGCTGTAGTCGTAGAAGTCGGCGTACTCGGCCAGCACCTGCGGCGCGCGCGCGCGAGCGCAGACGGGTCAGCGGTGGGGACGGTTCAGCGGAGTAATGGCAGGGTCGGCCGGCGGAATAAGACCACCACAGAGACGATGAGAACACAAAAGGAACACAACAGTTAACGAAGGGAAACCGACAGAGAGACGAGAAAGGTGACTGTGGTTAATGTTGTTAAGGAACGACAAACTGGTAGGACAGGAACAACAGCCGTCACGTTGTGACGCAACACCACAAAGAAGGGAAACATGCAGCAATAATGGCACTGCTGCAACGCTGGACAGCCACAATATGCCGGTCGTGTACTAATGATACTTGCTGGAGGGAACAGCAGTCTGCCATGTAATACCAGTTCAGTGAAGACGACGTTCGACGAAGAGTAGACGAAGACGTTCAGTTATCGTCGTTTCAGATATAAAAAATGCAATTTGATTAGGTTTCACAACTGTTAGGGCAAATCAAGCCACAATGATGAAATAGTACAAAGTTTGGGTTCACACTGCAAAGTACTAGGACCACCTTACTAATGCATACACAACTAGAACAGCTGATTCAGTCCAACATATGGCGAGACAGATAACCACTCACTGCCCGCATCAGTACAACAGGCGACAGAGGCGTCCTCACCTCCCCCTCATGCAGCATTTTGGTGTGGCCCTTGTCTCGCATGTGCTTCTGCACAGCCTCCACCGAGCTGAAGTGCTTGCCGCGCTCATTACACCACAGGCACACGAACCCCTCGCCAACCTAGAACACAGCGATGTATTTCAGTGACGGAGCACGCTCAGTGAGAGCTGGAGACCACACATGTGCCTGGATACCAAGGGTGGATCCAAGATCCCAAGGATGGATCCAGGATCCAAAGGGTGGATCCAGGGTCCCAATAATGAATCCAGGGTCCCAAGGGTGGATCCGAGACCCTAAGGGTGGATCCAGGATCCCAATGGTGGATACAAAATCCCAACAGTGATTCCAGAATCCCAGGGGTGGATTCAGGATTCCACAGGGCTCCATGCTTATGAAATCCAGGGATATTTTTCAAGGCTCCAGGCACATGTCTGCTGGGGACGAGAGGAAGCAGGAACACAGAGCAGATACGACGGCACTGAGATCACAACAGCGCATCACCACCTACTTTGGGTGAAGCCATAAATGTGTTGCCATCATTAATAGTTCTAGGGGTCATACAGCAAACTCAGAGCCCCGCTCTAAATGTTATGTCTTTCAGCGACGGAAGATTTTGTCGCTTTTCACCGCAGAAGACCAGTCTGATGTGTCCGACACGGACGACAAGAGACGGGGAATCAATAACAGCATGTATAGGTAATGATGGCTGACATAATCCACCCTAGAATGCCACTGCTGACTGGGGCAAGCCACAGCGACTGTGATCCAGCATCCCCCCCCCACCCACATCCCTGTCCTCCAGCCCCCCCCCCCCCATACCTTCTGGCCGAGGTAGGTGACCAGGCCCTCCATGTCGGTGACGTATTCGGCGTCCGGCACGAAGAACGAGTGGGCCTCGGTCATGTGGCGCAGGCTAGCCGCCAACTCGCCGGCGGCGTGCGGGCAGAAGAGGCAGGCCGTCGGCGCGATCCCCTCGCCCGCCCACTCCTCCCACTCGTCCGAGTCGACCTCCTCCACCGACTCGTCCGAGTCGGAGTCGGAGTCGGAGTCGACGACGGCGGCGACCGGCGGCAGATTCGCTGCGGGAGCACGGCGGCCAGGCGATCAGTCCACAGTCGGGAGTGCATGGGGCGGTCTCCTGGCCCACCACGCCCGGACGGCCGCGACACGACGACCGCTTCGGGTGCTGGCGCCACGGACATACCAGGGGAGCGAGCATCCGGGCTTGGGTGTGCAACCGACTTGCCACAAGCACAACATCCACACACTAATTACGCCATAAGACGTAATTTCGTGTTATCATTCCTGCGGCCTCTGAGTTCTAGGCCGTCCATTGACCTAGGCACCGAGCACCACGGACCTGCGCGCGGTGGCCTGCGCGGTGAGCACGCGCCGGCCTCCTTCTCCGACTGGCCAGACAGCTCGTTGTTCTTGCGGTTCTGCTCGGCCACCAGGCGGCGCTGGCGGCGCGCCTCCTCGTCGGCGTCCCAGCGCCGCTGCTGCTCCACGTGACGCCGCGACTGCAGCTGCGGCACGATCAGGGGGCTCACTTGGCTGACATGGGAAGATCAGGCACTGACTGGAAACGACCCATCACTGAGAAGACAGGGTGCTTCAAATGAGACAGGGGGCAATTATTATTGGGGTATCTTACCACCATTTGTCTTGCAGGTGTTACCACCTGCGAGAAAAAAGACAATTGAGCCCAAAAACGAGTAAAAATGGGATTGACAACAAATGACAGACTTTAGTATGACAGCAATGATATGGCATGTGGTGCAATCAGCCTCAGCACAACCGCCACCGATATAAACGTGTAACACTACAGACGAGGGGATCAGGGATACAATCTTGACCTATGGCCACCATCCCTAGGCACTGGAGGTGCTGCGGCGACCCGCGGCACTCACATGGTTCTGGTGCTGCGCGTCGGACCTGAACGGCTTGCGGCAGGGCTGGCAGTAGAGCGGGCCGGCGGCGTCCAGCGGCGCAGGCTGCAGCGCCTGTTGCGCCAGCACCCGCTCCCGGAATCGCTCGGCCGTCACATGCGGCAGTTCGGCCACCTGGCGGCCGGCAGAGGGCAGGTCGGTACAGACTGCGGCCAACAGCTTCTGTGGCAGCACCATGGCCTGGACCAGTGACAGCCATGGTCATGCTGGGCTATGACAACAATGAAATCAGTGGAAGTTGCCCTGCCACTGGGGCTAATGCAATCATGATTCAGCTATTGCTTGATTGAAAAAATGTGTTCCAAGAAAAATTGCTGTAAATGTGAAGTTGTATACTGGCATCTTGTTTCTTGGTCAACTTGAGTTATTAACATCTGCACTGGTGATTTGTTGCCTATACATATGATTGTAAGAAATATGCATTTGATAGTCATATCCACTGGTAACCATAGCTCATGTGTGATAATGGTCAAGATGCTTGACAGCAATGAATAACATGTCACCACCCACCAATCATTCACACACCTACCTTGCGTTTGAGATTGTACCGGTGCCAATCTGATTTGTAGTGCTCCCTCTGTATTTCTCCATCAGAGAATGCCACATGGCATGTGATGCATGTGAACACTGCAGGGCTAGCCATGCTGCAATGTCTGCACAAGTATGAAGAGCCTGGAATGACCAGAACATGAGGCATAATAAGACCTCTCTTTACCTTTAGTAGTAAAACAGTCACCACAATTAATTCTGATGCAGCATATAATGTCACTGAAAGCCATTGGAGAGCATAATAGGACTGCATTTTATCCTCCTATAACAGTACAAATAGTAGTCATGTATCAGTTGTGATGAGTTCTGCTGTAACATATGAGATCACTACAAACTACTGAAACCATAATAGGACTATGTCTTAAATGCTCACAAAACAATACAAACAGTGTTCATGTAACAATCATGAAATACAAAGAGACACTTGATCATTAAAAGTAAGTAAAATTCTAATAAGGTAGAAATAACATGTCATAACTCTAAAAATTCCTCAGATAGCAAAGGAATCAGACTTTCAAATTATCATTCTGCAATAGCATGCTAATGATATCTGAACCTGCACATTAAAAGTGCACTTGGGTGTGGTGGAATTTTATTTGGATCTGTAGTCCAGGCTCATGAGCTTTTAGAAGTGAAACTCAGGCTTACTTCTCAATCCTCATTTCAGCAAGATCTCAAATACGATATTTCAATTACTTGGTGCACTTAATAGATATTTCAACATATGTGAATATGGAACTGACCACAGATAGCACAAGCTAATTCACATACTAAATGAACTGCTGGACTATTTATAACTGTCATCATTCACAAGCCTGCCACATGACCCTCCGATTATGGACAGAATTCAGAATTCAAAATAAAACAACTTGCAGGTAATATTCCCCTTAAAAGCAAACCAACACCACCAGAATACATGGGAAGATGCATCAAGACTGTGAAATGCATTTACAAAATCAGAACAAATAGCTGAACAGTTGGAACATTTGTGCTACGTTATGCATGAAAGTATTTATTACGCACAAAGTGATAGCTCTGTTACATTACACAAGTGGTACTTGCTAATACAGATCTATGAGAGGTAACAGGAAAAGCTATCTTACAATGCTACCTTCTATTGGGCATTCAGCATATGAGCCCTGGTACTGCACTACACTAAGATAGTGTGGTGCTGCATATCTGAGAAACCAGAGGTGAAGCATATGATTCCCTGTGGTATCCACCCTTGCCCCCAGTGGGAGGCAGGCAGGACCATGCGGCCTCAGCAACTTAGGGTATTATCAAGTCGTATTTTATGGAGCTGTACCTGGTACTATGACTGAGCCATAATGGGCAGTGGTCAACAGTCATCGAACGTCCCAGCACCGTATTTTGGTAGTTCATCTGCCTAGCCTGGCCATAGTCAGTGGAAACACCCACATCAGGGCGATGTGTCACCGAAATGTCAGGGCGAAAGCACACAATTTCTTTGGAACTGATGTTAAGCTTATTAATAAAAGACGACTTACCTCAATAATAGCGTCGAAAGTTTGAGAAAAAAACTCAATTCCAGTTGTCAGGGGCCCCCAATTAGGGCGGACTCTCCAGGCCTCCCCCTCGTTCGCTTCACGGCTTAGCGACAGTTTCCGTAACACGTTTCCGACCAGTTGGTTGCGCAACGTTAGATGCACATAAACAAAGCGACGTCAATAAATGACGTAATCATATCAAGTAAGGAATATTTTGAACTTCAAAAGAAACTATTACGTCACAAACACCTATTTCTATTTCATATCCTTCCTAAATATGTGCTGTTTTGTCTTTACTGCGTAGGTTTCCCCAACACGTTGAAGTGCGGATCTCACGCAACTGAGACAAAATAATGCATCAAAGACAAGAAATGGTTGCCTAAGCCATTTACATGTCTACGTGTTCTATTAAGTTGGTATGCGTGGTGATCCCCCCGCTTTTTATACTTTCTTGCCCAGTTCCTGATTTCATGCAGACTGATGATGCGATGAAAGCAATCAGTGAACAGGAGGACGAGGAATGCAATCGTAATGCTGAACACATAAGTCAGATTTATTTGTTGAACAACAGAAAAAAGAAAAGTGATATATGAAATCAAAACAAAATAATGGTTACTCCTCTTTTATTTGCTGTGGTAAAGCAACTGCATCGTGTTTATGAGGTGGAGAACATATAGTAGCATGAGTCATGAGATTGTGCATTTATGCCAGACTGAGAAAATTTGTCCGCCAGGCCAAAGGCTATACAACATCTGTGTGCTGAACCTCGTGATTATTGCCACTGAACTCAGCTCGGGCCAAATAGTGCTGAATTTCCAAGTAATTTTTGCCTGAAAAATGCTGTTTGATACCATTTCTGCCTAAAGTTAGCTTTGCAACATCAAAACTCCTTGCAATATTAGCTCTGTGTGCTGAAATTGGCAGTAACCATGTGGTGGACTCTGAGTGCTCAGATTTGCAGCATGCAACCACCCATATTTTTGCAGTGATGCAGCTCCTTCATGACATGTTAAGTATAACTGCATGTTATGCAGTGTGGTGTCTGTGACATGCACAGCTCACTTGTGCATGCCAAACAAAGTTCAAGATTAATTTGCTCATTTTGAAGAAATTGCAAATCACATAATTTGTGATTGTCAGTTTAGATGTGTAGCAGTGAAAAGCCTCCTATTTTATGGGGTCCCTCGCCCACACTGTGATCAGGAACTTTGGTCTAATTTTGGGAGAGACTCATGTTTGATACATGCTGGAGTAGATATGTGGGTATAACTTTGTTGCCTGTCCAGTGCACCTATTAACATTGAGTATAAAATAAGGCAATGGATGCATGCAAAACAAAGCTGTTAGCTGGTAGCTACTCAGACTTAAGCTCATTTTAGGTATTCTAGATAAGACTTTAAGTCATACAGTAAAGACAGTCATGCAATTTAATTTATTTATAACAAAATTGTATGTTTATGACTAACACTCACTGTGCCTCACTCACTCTATTACTGCTTAGTTAGCTTAGTCTATTATTACTAACACTCACTCACTCACGCTATTACTGCTTAGTGACTGCTGTGCCACCTTTTATCAAAGTGAATCATTTTTATGTTTGTGACAGCTCTTTGGCCTGAAAGCTTTGCAGTGCTCTCCAAATTTCACCCATTCTTTTTCAGTTGGTGCACATATCTTCCATCATTTTGTCCTGAGAAGCTTGTAATGCTTGATATGACACCCTCCATGCCAATATTAAAGGCTCATAGAACATCTTGATGAGGCAGGAACCTCCAGTTTCCACTTTGAAATGGAGTGTTATTGTTATGATCTCTTGATGCATCCAGTGTTGCTTTATTCTGTTTTTCTTTTTGGAAACTTATTCTGATGTGAGGAATAGGAGGCAGGTGCTGGCCCCCTAAAATTTGGTAGAATGACTGCAAAATGATTGGGGCTGTTGTGATGCTCTTAACATTACATGCTACATCACATTTAAAGCTAAAGATATGCTTAAAGTTTGTTGGTTAGGTCATGCCAAGCTCATGATTAATCTTGCTTTGAGGTAAAACATATCCAGGCATAAAGTTAAACCCCTGCATAAGATTCACATAAACAATCAAAGTTCTGCCCAGGATGATGGTTAAAGCTACTCAGGCCCATCCTGCCATGAGTGGGTGAATATGAAGACAGGTGTTTTAGCCAGATAAACTAGTTTGACATTTGACTAGTTTGACATAGTTTTGACATTCAGCATCATGCAGAATCACACTTATTGAAGCAGCTGAATCCAACTGTACAACTGTATACAACTGAGCATTTTTGCTAGTCATGACTGAAGCCATCAAAAACCCTGTATGATGATAAAAGTTATCAAGTTAGTTTGTTCATAACTCAACACCTTTTTAGAATTTAACAACCTCTGTGTTTTGCAGCTGACCAGCACACTTCATGATGGCATCACTACTAATGGAAGCACACTTCTGGACCCACAGTGAAGATGTCATTGTTCATCCAGATGATGTTGGTGCATTCAAGTGAGTGATGTGACTGGGGTTAAAATGAGTGGCGGTTGCCAGAGATGTTTCCTTGATCCAGCTTCCATGGAACTGATGCTGACTTTCACTCATGCTGCATGATATTGATTCTAGATCTGGCTCTGATTAGCACAGTGCAATTTTGAGTCAACTTTACTGTTGCAGACTTGAGATACTGCCAATATAGATTTGGTGGCACTGCTTCATGGGCTTCATGGAAGGCTAAAGAGAGCATTTTCGGCGATCCAATTACAGTTGCCTATGCATGTGTGTTGTACTCACCGATGCCCTGGCAGACAACCCCCACTCGGGTTCTTACTGAGCATGGTATTGCTTCCGACTCCAATCAGAGGCAAGCACAGGTATGGCAGTGGGGACTCCATGAAGCCCCTGAATGTTCAGCGCTGATCTAATCCTGTTGGAATGTGAATCACTTGATGTCATTTTGAGGCGTCGACTGGGGACGTTGCATTGCTAATAACCACTAACCACCGACAATAACCGTGCCGGGACATGTATGCGTATCTCACGCGTTTTCCAGGTTTCATGACAAGACGGAGAGCTCAGGCGTGAAGTCCACCCACCAGCGGATCAAGGAGTCGTACGCCGACGCTCGAGGCATCACCACGCGCCTGGCCAACAAGCGACGCACGCGCGACCGCGACTCGTTCAAACAGCTCGAGGTGAGGGCGCGCCGCGCGTGGTTGTACCCGCGGCGCGCGTCAGGTGGCTGTGATGCAAGCCGAACACGCTGATGAAGCCGGCTAATTGTTCAGGGTGGGTAGTGTACCATTAATTATGCTTTGTCAATTCATGTCACAAAATTGACACCGGTGGTTTGGGTAGAGTGGTATGGCGATGCGATGTCATTGGTTGCGCGTGATCACGGCGAGGTGGGCTTGCAAGGCAGTTATAATCGCATGTGGCGACCTCATCGGTGCTGCTGTGCTTCAGGAGCTGCTGGACACGCAGAAGCTGAGCTACCAGAGCTGGCACCACCTGAACCTGCTGCTGCTGCTGTTCGAGTCCGGCACGCTGGTCACCCTCTGGGTCAACTTCCAGACGGGAAACGTCGACCGGCTGCTCATCGACAAGACGCTGGTGGGCAAGATGGGCTCCGACCAGGTGGTCAGCGGTACGTGTCTGCCTTCGCGTCAGGCGGGTGCTCCCTGTACGAGGCTACGCAGATGTCTGTGGTTCATTACAGTTGCTGTGAGAATGCGGTGCGATTCACTTTCGTGAGAGGTCCAACACCTGGCTTGTGCCGCTCAGCCGTGGGTATTCGGCATTGTAGCCCTGAACACGTGGCCAGCGGCAGCTCGGCTCAGAAGGCAGATGCTCGCCGCGGGTGCACAATGGCCGAGGGGCGGCCGTGGCCGGCTGACGGGGCTGTCGCGACGGCGGCCGGGTGTGTCGTGCCGCGGCGTGCCCACCTGAGCGCCGCCGTGTAACGCACCGTCGCGCCGCCAGCCGTGCTCACTGAGCTGTTCATGCTGCTGACGCACCCGGAGAACCGCATCACGCTGCTGGCGCTGCAGCGGCCGGTCTGCTGGGAGCGCTGGGGCCGGCTGTCGGTGCTCGAGCCGCGCGCCACCGTCTGGGAGCTACCCGGCCCGACCACGCGGCGCACCGAGCGGCGCCTGGCGCTGCCGCCGCCGCCGGCGCCGCTGGCGCCCGTCGGCCGACTCGCGCCGCAGGTGGGCAAGCACAGCGGCGGGGCGGGGCGTGTTGGAGAAGCAGCGCTTCGAGGCTGACTGCCGTTTGGCGGTGGGTCAGTAGTGACATCGTGTGGCTGGGATGGTCTCGGTTTGTCCCCTGTGTCATACAGTGACCGTCGGGGCTTGCACTTAAGCACTGGACGATCCAGCAGACCTCAGTGTGATCCGCAGGTGGTCAGGCTGGGTACGGTTGGAGTGGTGTCGTAAACTAGGCCCACATGTCTCCCAATTGCTGCAGCATGTCCCCCTGCTGGACAGATATCACAGCATGTGGTCCGGCCCGGCGGAGGACACATCTGTCCAGCATGTTACGTCTCGGCTCTGCAGTACGTCACGCCTACCCTCTCCATCACGCGACTGTCCCTGGGATGCCACCCGACCCGCGCCCGCTGCAGCGTGTGCTACCTTCCGGCAGGTGGCGCAGCAGGTGGCCGTGTGGTGGAGCGCCGCCGTGGGCGAGATCCAACCGTGGACGCCGTCCGGCCGCGACCAGGACCGCGCCAACGTGCTGGTGTACGGCGTGTCAACCGGACCGCCGTCCTCGCCGGCCGCCGACACCGGCCAGGCGTGAGGCATCTCGACCTGTCCTGCCCTGCCCTGCCCTGCCCTGTCCTGTCCTGTCCTGTCCTGCCCCGGTCCTGCCCTGCCCTGCCCTACCCTGTCCTGCCCTGTCCTGCCCTGCTGTCCCACCCTGCCGTGCGCTGCGATGCCCTGCACTGCCCTGCTGTCCTGCCCTGGTCTGCCCTGCTGTCCCGCTCTACCCTGCGCTGTGATGCCCTGCCCTGCCCTGCCCTGCACTGCGATGCACTGCCCTGCCCTTCATTGCCCTGCCTTGCCCTGCCCCGTTCTACTGTCCTTCCCTGCCCCACCCTGCCCTACCGAACCCAGCCCAGCCCAGCCCAGCCCAGCCCAGCCCAGCCCAGCCCAGCCCAGCCCAGCCCAGCCCCCCCCCCCAGCACCCCCCGCTACCCTACCTTGTTTTTCCGATGGTTGCGAGCGTAGGGAGATCCTGTAGCCCTGCTTTGCTCTGCTGCACCCCTCGCCACCCTGCCGTATTCTTCCAATGACAGGGAACGAAGGTAGACGCTGGAGCCCTGCCCTGCGCTGCCCTGTTCTTGCGCTGGTAGTGGGTGGCGGCGGGGTTTGTGGAAGCCCTGCCATGGTTTGCGATCCTCACCGCCCGCCACCTGCTGTGCATGTAGATGTGTGACACATGCTGTGCATGTGTGACAATACGGCTGTAGTGTTTGGTCGGCCACCCGTGGTCAGTACGACGGCTGGTCTGTGTGCCGTGATTGCTGGGTGTTTGCGCCACCCAGCTGGTGCATACCCGCGGCCGCGCTGTATGTGACGGCGTCGCGCCTGCGCTGTGTGTGACGGCGTCGCGCCTGCGCTGTGTGTGACGGCGTCACGCCTGTGCTGTGTGTGACAGTGACGCGCCTTCAATGTGTGTGACGGTGCCGCACCGTCGCTGTGTGAGACGGTGCCTCGCATGCGCTGTGTGTGACGGCACGGCGCTTTCGCTGTGTGTGACGGTGCCGCGCCTGCGCTGTGTGTGACGGCACGGCGCCTTCGCTGTATGTGACGGTGCCGCTTCTGCCCTGTGTGTAACGGTGTCGCGCCTTCGCTGTGTGTGACGGCGCTGTGCCAGCGCTGTGTGTGACGGCGCCGCCCTGGCACAGCTCGCCGGATGGCACGCGTCTGGAGCTGTTGAGCTACTGCAAGACGCACCACGACCCGCTGCTGGTGCAGTTCAGCCACCTGCGGCCCGACACGCTCTACACGGTGGAGCAGAGCCTCACCAACACGGTGAGATGTCGGAGGTCACAGGCTCGACAGGTCGCATGTCACAGGCTTTACAGGGGGGAGCGGACACCTGGTGAGATGGGAGTTGTAGTCGTACTACTGTGTACCACTGTCGTATTTGGTTAGTCCGGGTGGGTTTACGATGGGAATTTGAGGGCATCACTCCCAACGTCTTTGTCACGAGACCCATCCAGAGGTCATAGGGAGGTGGTTAACGCCGCGTTCATGCTGTTGAGAAGAATGGCCCAGTTTCTGATAACACGCTAACCAACGCCTGCCCGCCAGACTGAATTACGCAGGCGGCGCTAATCTGTGCACTCACGTTGAGACCGCGCAAGTGTTGGTCGCTTTGACCGGGTAGTTTGCCATTTCCAGAGTTCATCTTGGTCCTTTCAACTGCTACTGACCTCTTGGGTGACTTCTGTTCAACTTCCCGTTATCCACCAAACGCCGCACCAGCTGTCCGGCATGTATGTCCGCGGTGGCCGTTTCTTGTGTCGGCCGGCGGTGCGGCCTCTCCAGCCGCTGTGTCGCGTTTCAGGACGAGGTGCTGGTCGAGCACAGCACGTACGACATCTCGTCTGCCACCTGTCAACAGCTGACTGCCATCACCATCCCATTAACGTCGGAGGTAATCACAGACCTGAGTCTGGTTACAATGGATGGGACACGATGGGAAATGCTGTTTTGTGGTGTCGCACGTCACCGTCGTTATACTTTGGTGTTTTGTCAGATTGGGGTCTTAGCGCGGTATCTTAACGCCGTTTATGTCATCGCGATCCCATCAAAACCGCGCTCTTTAACGGGAGACACCTCCTAGTAACAGAGCGACACAGCCGAGACCCCTGACTGTGAGCTGTCTCGTCAGGTGCTGTGTGCCCCCGTCCCTTTGTACGAGAGGCGCCTCTCGGTCACAGAGCGGCACAGCAGAGACCTCTGACTGTGGACTGTCTCGCCAGGTGCTGTGCGCCCCCGTCCCTTTGTACGAGAGGCGCCTCTCGGTCACAGAGCGACACAGCAGAGACCTCTGACTGTGGACTGTCTCGCAAGGTGCTGTGCGCCGCCCTCTCTCCGGACGAGAGGCGCCTCCTGCTGGGCTGCGCTGACAACTCGCTGCTACTGCACAACTGCGCCCGCCAGATGACGCACATGGTCCAGATACAGATGGTGAGAGTCCGCTGGTGGCACAAATACCCCGAGCGTTATCTGACCTGTCTTTAGACCTCGCTGTGGCAAGTTGAACCGACCTGCTCATTTCAGGCCTCTGGTCAAATAGTGGGAGTTGTCAGTGCGTGTCATGTCTTGATGGCTTCCACTGTGTGGCCAAAGTCACGTTGATGCCCCAGGCATCAGCCACCACCTTCGATATCTCAGCCACCAAATGTGTCACATACCAACATGACCATGGAATGTCATATAACAGGTTCGAGAACGGTGTGGCAGTCGCATGTCTTACTCTTCACCCAATATCCGTCCGGTGATTGTGAGCTGTGCATGTCTCCAGTCATTGACCCCACGTCAAAGCTGATGCTGCCGCAGCAGCTCGTGCTGCCCGTGCGTCATCCGTACTCATCATATGTCAGGGATGACTTGTGGATCTGTGTGCAGCCTCAGGTAAGGTCATTTGTGTTACGTATACTGAGGCCCTGGCCCCTTTAGAACCCAGCTGATGATCAGGTTGGTAATCCCTTATTCCATGCGGTGACTTCTGTTGGCCGCACTAGCACCTCTTTTAATCTCTCTGATGGCGGGATCAATACTTCCTCACTGATATGGCCAGAGGACGGTTATGGGACTACAAGCAGTGGTTGATCTAGTGGCCGGTATGACCCATTTGATGACGCGGTAATCGCAGTCCGTGCGGAGATCCGTCTTGCGTCATTTGATGACGTGGTGACCTGAACGACGCCGTGTGATGGCTGTAAGACCGCTGCGACCACGTGTGCCCGGATATTCCGCGTGACACGATGTGATTACCTAGTGAACGGTGTAACGTGTGACGATCTATCTCTGGTGCCCCGGACTCGACAACGATCGATGATGTAATGACCGGGTGACTCGTGTTACACTGGGAGATGCCCGGATGACCTGAGATGCTGTGTGATGACGAAGTGACCCGTGTGATGATGTGATGACCTGGTTCACCGTGTGCCGCCGTGTGATGACCGGATGACCTGAGATGCCATGTGATGATCAAGTGACCCGTGTGATGATGTGATGACCTGGTACACCGTGTGCCGCCGTGCGGTGACCTGGTACCCCGTGTGCCGCCGTGCGGTGACCCGGTATCCCCGTGTGCCGCTGTGCGGTGACCTGGTACCCCGTGTGCCGCCATGCGGTGACCTGGTAACCCGTGTGCCGCCATGCGGTGACCCGGCACCCTGTGTGCCGCCATGCGGTGACCTGGTAACCCGTGTGCCGCCATGTGGTGACCTGGTACCCCGTGTGCCGCCGTGCGGTGACCCGGTACCCCGTGTGCCGCCATGCGGTGACCTGGTAACCCGTGTGCCGCCATCTGGTGACCTGGTGCCCCGTGTGCCGCTGTGCGGTGACCTGGTGCCCCGTGTGCCGCCATCTGGTGACCTGGTACCCCGTGTGCCGCTGTGCGGTGACCTGGTGCCCCGTGTGCCGCCGTGTGGTGACCTGGTACCCCGTGTGCCGCTGTGCGGTGACCTGGTACCCCCGTGTGCCGCCATGTGGTGACCTGGTACCCCGTGTGCCGCCGTGTGGTGACCTGGTACCCCGTGTGCCGCTGTGCGGTGACCTGGTACCCCGTGTGCCGCCATGTGGTGACCTGGTACCCCGTGTGCCGCCATGTGGTGACCTGGTACCCCGTGTGCCGCTGTGCGGTGACCTGGTACCCCGTGTGCCGCCATGTGGTGACCTGGTACCCCGTGTGCCGCTGTGTGGTGACCTGGTACCCCGTGTGCCTCCGTGTGGTGACCGGCTGACCCGGTATTCCGCCGTGTGATGACCTCGCTGCGGTGACCCGGCAGACGCCGTGTCGCGCTGCCTGGCACCCGCACAGCACGCTGGCGTTCGTCAGCAGCGAGACGGGCCAGCTGCGCTGCTACGACCTGGCGCTCTCTCAGCTGCCGCTGCAGCTGCTGGGGCATGGCCACGCGGCGGCTTCGACCGCCACCTGGACCCCGGCCGTGACCCCGGCGTCGGCCGCGGTCCAGGGACCGCGGACCGGCCTCGGGCTCGGACAGTACTTCAGGTTAGTCGGGCAGCGGGTTCGACCGGGGCCTCTCGCCTTGTGTGGTGTGCTCAGGGATGTCTCGGATGGCTTGAGTGAAGGACAGAGCAAGCCAGTCAGGTAAGCAAGCTGTAACATGTTTTTCGTTTGTTTTCTTACAGTCGACGTCAGCTTTGTCCTCCGCCGTTGGCTGTCAGGTTTGATCCCTATGGGTCGATGTGGTCTGTTAGCTTGCTTTGTTTGTGCGGTTTGACATGTTTGGGATGTGGGTTGGTGTTGTACGTCCTCGTGTCCTGTTAACATTAAGGAGGTTCGAGGACAGTCGGCGTGTTTTGTGTTTAGTCGTAGTGCACGCTTTCGCGAAGCGGAGTTCTGTGGCACATCGCCGTTATTTCGTCTTGCCCTTGGAATAGGTCTTGCCGTAAGAATAAGTTGCTCTTTATTCGTGTTCTTTCTAGCGACCAATGATTCCAAGAAGTTTACTATTTGGTTCGATTCATAATGACAGCGCGATGCGTAAATAACAACAACAACGCGACCACGTTAGACCTGGAAATACGGAGAAATCAACCAGGAGCTTTAAAGAACGCTTTGTTGGCAGGATAAGGTGCGTTGTTTTTCGGGCACTATTGAATACATGCGGTAGCGTTGATTCCATGCCTGTTGAAGTCTTGCTATGGTCAACAGCGAGTTTGATTTCGCCTGGCGAGCATTGTACAGATTTGCATTTTCCTTCTCCCGGAGCGTGTTATGCGGCCGCGTCTCGTGCCTCCCGGATACACCAGCGATATGAAGTCAGACGGCCGCGGCGGTCGGTGGCGTGCGCTGTTGCAGGTTCAAGCCACGGGTGTCACGCCTGCTGCACTGTCCGGAGGTCATGTCCCAGGAGGGGCACGTGCTGCAGTCGCTGCTCGTCACGTTCGTCCGGTGGGTGGGCGCGTCTCCACGGACCGACACACACCGCATCGGCCTGACGGGAGGGGGTTGGCTATGGCGGTGGTTATGTGGGTCCGATGCCGGGGCACGTGATGAGATAGATGGCACGCGTGGCGACCACACCAGTGGTCCACGAAAGACTTGGGCGCACGGCTCAAATTCGCGTCCGGCGCTCGACGGGCCATTACGAATTTCACAACATGATCCGTCCCAATTGCCTGATGACTTTTCAAGCCTGATCATCCACTGCCCTTAACTCAAGGTCAGGTAACCCTGGATCAGAGCAGGCACGCTGTGCGCAGGGTCGCCCGCCACCGCGTCCCCTGCCGGTGTCGGTAGTTACGCCCTCCCTCTGTTCCGCAGGGGCCCGATGGCGCTACTCTGCCTCCAGGTCAGCCGACCCAACAAGGGCCGCGTCCATCCTAGTGACGTCATCAGCGATTACGTCAGCGAGCGGCGGCTGGACGCGGCCATCAACCTGCTGGCGTCGCTGAACTGGGAGCAGCAAGGCGACGAGGCGCTCGCCGGGCTCTACATGATCGCCAACCACCTGCTCAAGCTGCCCCTCACGCCGGCCAGAGAGGGTACGCGCTGTGGCTGCGGGCGCTGGAGCCGGAGCGCGGGGAACGGACGGGACAAGGCGTCGGCGTGCCAGGGGGGGGGGGGGAGGGAAGGGTACACACTGTGGCTGCGGGCGCCGCAGCCGTAGCGCGGGGAACGGACGGGACAAGGCGTCGGCGTGCCAAGGGGGGGGAGGGGGGGGTAGGGTACACACTGTGGCTGCGGGCGCTGCAGCCAGAGCGCGGGGAACGGACGGGACAAGGCGTCGGCGTGCCAGGGGGGGGGGGGGGGGGGGTAGGGTAGGGTACACACTGTGGCTGCGGGCGCTGCAGCCAGAGCGCGGGGAACGGATGGGACAAGGCGTCGGCGTGCCAGGGGGGAGGGGGGGGGGGGGGAGGGAAGGGTGCGCGCTGTGGCTGTGGGCGCTGCAGCCAGAGCGCGGAAACAGACGGGACAAGGCGTCTGCGTTATGGTTTGGTTCGGTGCGGGCTGAGGTTTTGAAGCAAGAGCTGGGGATGGCAGAGCGGTTGAGTAATTGGACGGCTGAGCTGCGGAAAGGATTATGGTGGAGAAGATGAGTGCTGTTTGCTCGTTCTGTAATACCTGCGAACAGTCTACCACTCACAATCTAGCGTGCATTCAAAGCATATGGTGTCAGGAAGGTAACTCTTAGGACAAGTTATGCACGACTCTTGTAACGGGCTGTTGCTTTGGTTGCGTAAATACTGTGACGTGTGTTGCTCCGTTGCTCTGTTCCGCGATGTCTGCGCGTGGTATGGTGACGCGGTCTTGGGTCGACAGCCCAGCTGGAGGCGGCGCTGGGCAGTTACCTTGCGCCGGTCCGCGCGCTCACCCGGCCCGTGGAGAACATGTACGGCGACCGGGTGCGCAACATCACGCGCCGCTTCTTCCACCACCTGCTGAGGTGAGCCGCAGCACCGGACACGCATGGCGCCGCACGTCGGGGACGGCTGCGGGCGCGCCGACGCTGCTCAGCTCGGCTGGTGGCTGGCGTGGCTGGCGGATGGGGACGAGTCTGCACCGCTGGGGCCGGCGACGCTTGCAGTCCGACCCGTAAAGCCCGTCACGTTCGGTCTTGGATATCGCCTCCCGGGTTTGTGAACGCCCTGTGGTATTGATGGAGACGGCGCCAGCGTTTCGAAAAGGTGCACCAGCTGAAACGTCACCGGCGAATACAACCTTGTCCCGGTGTGTGGCACGGCAGACACCAGTGCTTCGAGAAGGCGTACCGTCTGGCGCTGGACCTGCGCGACCACGACCTCTTCATGGACCTGCAGCGGGCGGCGCTGCGGGCCGGGGACCCGCACCTGGCGGCGGCCGCGCTCGCCAAGGCGGACGAGCTCGACAACGCCTCGTCCGTCACCTCCGGTACGGGCCGAGCTTGACAGCGCCTCGTCCGTGGCCTCCGGTACGGGCCGAGCTTGACAGCGCCTCGTCCGTCACCTCCGGTACGGGCCGAGCTTGACAGCGCCTCGTCCGTGGTCTCCGGTACGGGCCGAGCTTGACAACGCCTCGTCCGTGGCCTCCGGTACGGGCCGAGCTTGACAGCGCCTCGTCCGTCACCTCCGGTACGGGCCCGGCCGCTGCTCGCCGGGCCGCCGCCGCTGACGGGCGCGTTCAGGCGGTCGGGCCGCGCAGCGCCGGCGGGGAGGGCGCTTAAAACAGGCGTAGGAAGCGCTGGCGCGATCTGGTACCGTTCTCCTTCCGTTTAGTGGGTCAGTTATGAGGTTGGTCGGCACAGTGGAAGCTGCCCCCTGGGAAGCAGTTTGGCGCTCTAGAAGAATTGTGTGGAGTAGTTATCGCCCATTGTTACAGTTCATATGTGTTGCATGCTGAGAAAACGTGTGCAATTATCCAGCTCTTATTATCATGTGGCCTACTGCTGTATCATTGATAAGGCGCGCAGTGGTCAGAGGCGTCCAACCGGCGGCGCGCGGCAGCTGTAGCCGGCCTCGTCCGCAGGCTCCGAGTCCGGCGACACGTCTTCCTGCTCGTCCGACTGCAGCTCGTCCTGGCACAGCGAGCGCGACGAGCGGTCGGACGAGCGTTCGGACGAGCCTCGCGGCCAGCCGCCGGACAGGCAGGAGGACGAGGAGACGCTGGTGAGCACGGCCGGCTTGGTGGTGAACCGCCCCGCCTGTCCGCCGATGGCTTGCGGGGCGGCAGGAGAGGCAGCGTTGGGCAACAAGGCTGCTGCTCTCTGACCCTTCCCGTCTTCAGGAGTAATCATTGTATCATTTGATTGTGTTGATTGTGTTGCGTTGTGTTGTGTTGATTGCTCTCTGACCTTTCCCGTCTTCAGAAGTGATCAGTGCATCAGCTGATTGTGTTGTGTTGTGTTGTGTTGATTGTTGATTGAATCAGTTGGTTGTGTGCAAACTGCTTGAAGCCATTGTAATTAAGCGCATGCTACGTGTGCATGAGAGGCCATTGTCGCAAACTACAGATCCGTAAACCCACACTTTCATTTCCTCATTAGATATGTCCGAAACAATGATAAATTCTGAGCAATATATTTCAACTTCGTGGCTGAGACCACAATTTGATTGTGCGTGTTTTTTGTCACTGATAACCCCTAGGGCCATTGGGCTCGCACCAGCACGCTGGCTGTACACTGCCCCTGAGCAGCGGGGCCTGACCATGTTGCTCTGCGTGACGGGAGAGCGTGTTCGCCACAGGCGGCCCAGCTGCGCGCGGCCCACCTCTCCCAGCCGATGGCCGGGCCGCGCCCATCCGCCGAGGCTGACCCCCTCCAGCCGGCCGGACCGCTGGCGTCAGAGGGAACCGGGCGGCCGCCGCCGGCGCGGCCCGCCGCCGGCTACCAGGGGCCGCCCGGCGACGGCCAGCTGGAGCTGGGCCTGCCACCGGCCCTCCTCCAGCAGCAGCAGCGGCCGCAGCACTGGGCGGCGGTGCACGAGGTGGAGAGGTTTGCCTCCGCGCCGTCTCTCGTCCAGCCGCAGCCTCAGCCGAGGGACCACGGCGTGGAGCGGACGGCCGCCCCTCGGCCGTCCCTCCTGCACCAGCATCTGGACCGGGCGCGAGGGCCGCCGGCGGAGAGGTCGCCCGCTCCGCGGCCGTCCCTCCTGCTCCAGCAGCCGGGTCAACCATGGGCCGTCGAGCTGGAGCCCGCCACCACCCGGCCACCGCCAGCCGAGGGCGGCGAGGGGCCGCCGCTGCCGCCGCGGCCGGCGGCGCTGCAGCGCGTCCTGTCCGGCGACGGCCGGCCGCCGGTACCTCCACGGCCCGCCGGCCTGCGGGGCTGGCGTGAGGCGCCGCCGCCACCGCCGGCGCCGACGCCCGGGCTGCAGGGCGAGCGGCCGGCGCCGCCGCGGCCCCTGCCGCGCACCAAACCGCCAGGTGAGGCGCGGCGTGACGGCCAGCCGCGCCGCCGGCTACGCGCCCGGTGGCAGGTGGTCCCGGGAACACCCTCTCTGTACGGAGCGGGTGATCAGGCTGCCGCCCTCTTACTCTGGGGCTTATAGTGGCATCTGCCGTCACTTTAGTCCCTATATATGTTAAATGCGGCGACTGCGATTCTCTTTCTCCTGGCGAGGTCGCTCGTGGCGTGTTGCTGAGAAGTTAAGCTTGAATTAACATCGTGCTCGTCTGTAGTGGGAACACTGCCGCGTTTTATTTTAGACCGCTTCTGTTACAAATGGTTGTGAATTAACAATTTTCAGCACACCGAGCAATATTCCATCCGACGTCGTCCATCGTGCGTTACTATCAAATGATATAGCTAAATCCTTCATCGAGATTTTGTCTCGCTCCTGTAGTTAACATTTCAGGGTAAATGAACGCAACTGCAGGTTGTATGTAGATGAGATTCTATTCCTCAGATGTCCTCAGGATAGCTTTGGAGCTTTAGTGTTAGCTGGATGATTTGATTCGAAGCTTTTAATAGCAGAGTTAGACCGGATATGGCATTTGTTACTAAACTGGCTATTGTAGACACGGCGTGCAAACGGCTGAGTCAAACGTGTGTACAAGCTGCTGACTGACAAACGTGTGTCAAACCGCTGACAAACGTGTGTCAAACCGCTGACAAACGTGTGTATAAACTGCTGACTGACGAACGTGTATCAAACCGCTGACAAACGTGTGTCAAACCGCTGACTGACAAACGTGTGTACAAACTGCTGACTGACAAACGTGTGTCAAACCGCTGACAAACGTGTGTACAAACTGCTGACTGACAAACGCGCGTCAAAGTGCTGACAAACGTGTGTCAAACCGCTGACTGACAAACGTGTGTCAAACTGCTGACTGACAAACGTGTGTTCAAACCGCTGACTGACAAACGTGTGCCAAACCGCTGGCTGACAAACGCTCGTCAAACTGCTGAGTCTGGATGTACTGCGCTCGGTGAGGTGGTCCAATGAAGCGTAATGATTCATCTCGGTCCCCTGTCCCAGAGCCGGACGGCGAGGCTGCCCTGGTCATCCACTTCGTCTGAATCTGCGGCGTCATCTCTCCCTGGCTGAGGTCGTCCGATGCTCCTGCTCAACGGCCTGACCCGAGGTCACGACCCGAGCCCAAGCCGCCGTGCCGCCCGCTCAGTGGCTCCGCCACCACTCCTGTGATACGTGCTGCCGTCCAGTGACATGTCGGTGTATATTTACATAATACTAGACGGGCCGAGCCCACAGCACTGCGCGAGACGCGGCCGTTGTACGGAGACGCGGCGTCCGCGCGCGCGCCGCGCCTCGCTCTGTATCACACTGCGCCGCGGCCGCGCCGCCCACCCTCATGCGCGCTGTAACAAGCAGTCTTCAGAGTAACAGGCGCCCACCGCGCAAATGCACGCGCGCGAGCGCATAGAATGGTGACTCGCGGCCACCGGGATACAGCCCTATACGTAATAAATGCTGGAACTACGCACACGGCGTGTATACAGAATCGGTTAGGTGGGCCTAGCGGACAAACCAACTCAGTAAAAAGCGAGATTTCCTATTCAATCTGGACAATGCAGCAGTCGTGTGCCTGATATCCGTTGGTAAGGCACAATCTTGTCACAGAGGTCGGCCGATATGTCACCCTGGCGGTTATCCATTACACTCAAACCTTTGTACTAGCTCACAGATGGCACTAGTGTCTGGAGCGTCCTTCGCTTCACGGCACCTCGCTCTGGTTCTTCGGTTTCACGCGTGGATACAGCTGAAAGCGAATCAGACAACTAGTTAGCTGGGGTCCCGGCTCCCTGAAATCCAATCTGACGATAACGGGGTTTGGGCGCGGTGCCGGGGGCGCTCCCGATGAACAATACGCTGTCACAGGGCTGCGAGGAGACAACTCGTCGAGACGGGACGAGGGCGGCGAGGGAAATGACGAAAGCGGGGCGTGGACGCGCATGGGGAAAGTTCAAATCGGTGATGCCGGCCCGGATGAGACAAGTCACACTCCTTACGGCATGTGCTTACGCAGAAGGAAGTGTCGAACACTCAAGAATGGAGCCCTGCACCCTTGAATTTCATCATCTGTGACACACAGCTGGAACAGGCGACGGACAAAGCTACGCAAACACGATGGTGGTGATGACAAATTGTTCACCTTCTCCGGCAACACCAACCAATACATTTCCGATTAAAAGCCGTCCTCAGAACAGCAACTCGCCAGCCTCGCCACGCCTTCGCACCACCAGTCGGCCACCCCCGCTTGCTGCAGCGTACCACCGAGCGCCGCGGCCGGCGCATCGCCTCACCCCGAGCAAGTTCCTGGGAATGTAGCCTTCGCGCGGCGGCTCGCCGGCCGACGTCCACCACCACTCGCGCTCGACCTCGTCGCCCTTGCGCAGCACGGTGAGCGCCTGGCCGTCCTCCAGCGCCAGCTCGTCGGCGTTCTGCGGCTGGTATCCGAACACGGCGTACACCCGGCCACTGTTGAGGATGCCCAGCTTCTCCTGAATGCCTGCGGCGGGACGGCGGGCATCAGCCGAGCGCCGGGGGAGCCGCCCCGGACAGGTGGCCGTCGACGTCCCCGGACAGGTGGCCGTCGTCAGGGGCAACGGCAGGCGAATCCCTTTCTTTGCGCGTGACATGCCCGCGTGTTTGCAGAAGAGGTCAGGTGCAGTGAGAATTGGCCACCCGAGGAGCCAAAATAGCGTTCCAGATCACAGAAAAACACCTCACGTCCAGTTAGCCGCGCTCCAATTTACTAATATGGTTTCGTTTTGACAAAACTAGATCACAGCCGCCAGTGAGCAACGAAAAGTCATCATATCCCACAGCTCTAAGAGAAACTTCGACAACGGTTGAGGGCGAATGTCAACGCCGCACGTTGGAAATGTGCTGTGGTCAAGTCCTCTTAAGATACTGTACCATCAGAGCTCGAGCTGCCGGACAACATGCTGACCGCAATAAATAACTCTGAGCCAGACAAGTCCGGCCCAGGCGCGGCCTCTGTGCACCCTCCCTCGGCCGACCTGTCGCCGGCACCGGCCACTCACTGTAGAGGTACTCGGAGCAACCGTGGTAGCCCTCCTCATCCTCCTCGCACTTCTCGGCGGCCGTCTCGTGGTCCGAGAGGGTCGTGGCGAAAATGCACGCGCCGTGCTCCACCAGGAAGCGTACCATCGGCAGGTTGTTGCACGAGGCGGCGCAGTGGAGCGGCGTCCTGCGGTGGCGAGGTCACAATCAGTCAGGTCACAGGTCGGCGACACGACGGACGCAGACCAAGTCGTGACGGTCGCAATTTCAGGCACCCCACGAGTTCCCACAGCCTCGTGACTTAATGCCTCACGGGGACCAAGGCGAACGTTAGGGTGATTTATACCGAAAACGCTCAGCCCAGAACATTGACAAATTCACACACGTGTTCTCCAAGGGGGATGCGATCGTCCTAGACTTTAAACCATGCATCTACCTTGCTCTTTTCACGTGCTGGACACAAGACATCAATACCTAGAACAGCCGGCATATGAGAAAGATTCGTGATTGGATGTGACTGCTAATGAGCTGGCTGTGTGACAATCGGAAAAATCCCCGATCAGCACCGATGCCTGACGCTGCAGGTCACGATCAACTGTAATGACATTGAAAGCGGCGGCAATAAGTCGCGAGATTATCGCGAGATTATCGCGAGATTCTCCGCCTCGGCCAGGATACCGAGAGCTGACGCGCCTGGCAAGCACGGCACGTGGACGTGATTTTTATGGGCCAACCATCTGTGTCAACATGTCTGCATGGAGCGTCAACAGCGAGACAGAAATGACTACACAAAATCGACGTGAGACGATCCGCTATCACGCGCGTAACAAAGTTCGGGCTGCTGGCCGGCAGGCGCCCGATGGGCTGACGCAGGAACCCCCCCCCCCCCCCCACTGCGAGAGCGAACACCTGCGCGCGGACCACTGCGGCTCCACGGAAGTCGAGGACAGCACGCCCGCAGACCGCTGAATAACGGCCGCGTTGTGCCTTCCTCATCACGTGAGGGTAAAGCTTGCTGTAGGTATCCATAGGGCCAGTGTTCTTTATGGTTAGGGTGAGGTAGGACCACGGCTAAGGCTCGTTACTGACTTCGATTGGTGATGAATGTAAAATGAGACAGGACAGCTCTCTTTTACGCCTGTAAATAGATTATATTAAATTTACAATGGCACACAGACACCAGATCTGCTACTCACCAGCCGTCGCTGTCCTGGGAGTTGACGTCGCAGCCAAACTCGACCAGGAACTTGACGATCTCGAAGTGTCCAGCGCATATGGCGTTGTGCAGGGCCGTGATGCCCTCGTCATTGGACGCCGAGGGGTCACGCACCTCGCCTGCCGCCAGGTCAGGCAGAGGTCAGCCGGGCACTCACGACACCACTCGGCGACAAACAGCTGCACTGGCGACACACAGGGCATTACCCACCGCCAGCCGTCGACGAACAAACACGCTCTGCAGCCAGCCTGCGGCCCCTCAGCTGTGCCCACAGTTAGGGACGACTGCATGTCACCAGCGCTGGCCGCTGGCGGGTCTCGCCGGCGCTCCGACGTCGCCATTACGGCCATTATACGGCACTGGCTGGCCGGCCGGCGCGCGGAGCTCATTACGGCGCGGCAGGCACGGCTTCGGCCCTCATTGCCCTCGTTACCGGCCCGGCGGCCGTCTCCCTCGCTTCCCGCGCGGGTGGCCGCCCGCCCGATCGTCGGTCATTTCGGCGCGGCCGGCACAGAATCCGCATGGCGGTAAAGGATGACGCTCGACCGCGCCGAAGCCCTCTCCATTTCCGATTGCTTGAAAACACGCGAACTGACAGCCCAAAACCGACGGACATCCTGACCCAGCCGGGCTCTGATGAGGACCACCTCTGCCCGTGGCCGCGGTCGGCACCTACGCGACGTGCCGTCTTCCTGACCAGCTCAAGCCTGTCTTCAAGACTCGTGACCTCCCTGACCCCGACTCACCTGCCGTCTTCTTGACCAGCTCCAGCTCGCCCTCCAGACTGGCGTCGAGCAGCAGCGCCAGCGGGTCGAAGCTGACCCGGTGTGCCTTGCCAGCCGAGCCGGGCGCCTTCAGGTTAGACGCCTTGCGGCGGCGGAGCGCCGGCCCGACGGCCGGCCGCGGCCCGTCGCCGTCCGAACCGGGACTGTCGGCGCTCGAGTCGACGCTCGACTCCACTGAAAGACAGCGGCAAGTCAGCCGCGGCCAGCGCAGAGCGGCTCGCCGGCGTCCGAACCGGGACTGTCGGCGTTCGAGTCGACGCTCGACTCCACTGAAAGGCAGCGGCGAGTCAGCCGCGGCCAGCGCAGAGCGGCTCGCCGGCGTCCGGGCGCCGGAGCCGGTACGGAGGAGCGGGGAGGGCGGGGCGATCGGAGGGGAGGGGAGCTCATCGCGAGCGTCCATGACGTTCACGCTAAAACCGCAGAGCGCTTCCTCTGCAGGCGACGTCAGTCGGGATTGCCACACCGCGGCTTTGAGGTTGGACACGGCACAACGCGAATGTGTGCGAACTGCCAGGACGCAAGATAGAAGAAACACCTCCACAGGTGGACTCGAGATGCATAACCTGAGCTCCAACCGACCCTGAATGGCTATTGCCATCACACACCAATTCCTTGAGCACCGTCGGATAACAAGGCCACGAACAAGCCAACGGTTAGTCACTATACGAGGACATACAGGCCTATCTCAATGGTACCGACTATCGCTAAGGTTACCGAGCGTGTAGTTTACGAGCAGCTGTTTGTATATTTTACCCCTCATCACCTGTTCTCGTCTCGTCAACATGGTTTTAGATCATATCGCTCCACGGCGCTTCTCACGGTAACCGACAAAGTTTTTGAGACCATGGGTCAAATGGGAATCACCTTGTTATGCCTACTGGACTTAACCAAGTGCTTTGATGTTATTCCACATGATGGACTTATTAGAAAGTTCCAGCTGTACAATGTTGATGCACGTTGGTTTGCGAGTTACCTCCAAAACCACTTTCAGCAGGTTCTCGTCCAGAACCCAGGAGGCGCTTCCTCTCTGTCCGCGGCATTGCACAACCCGATCGGAACCTGCCAGGGCTCAGCGCTCGGCCCGCTGCTGTACAGCATTTATGCTAGTGACATGCCGCTGCATGCTCATGACGCATGTATGGCGCAATGCACGGACGACACGCAGATTTTAGCGAGTGGGAGGCCCGGTGACATTGGTACGCTGATCACATCCATGGAGCAGCATCTTTCACACCTGTCCAAATGGTTTGGCAAAAGCGGAATGAAAATTAACGCACGAAAAACACAGCTCATAGTCCTCGACACGCGTCAAAATCTTCGGAACCTGTCACCGACTAGCATCAAATTTATGGGCGCCACTGTAGCCAGCTCTCCTTCGGTTCGAAACCTGGGTGTTGTATTTGACCAGTGCATGACGTTCACTGCGTACACTGATGACGTCGTGCGGCGATGCGCTGACGTTCTTATCGGCCTCAGCCACAGCCGGCACAGTCTGCCTCAGGCCACACTCATTACTCTAGGCCAGGGTCTAGTCATCTCACTCATCCGTTACTGCATCTGCGTGTACGGAACATGCAATGCTACTCAAACATCACGACTGCAGAAGCTGCTGAACTTCGCAGCACGAGTCATCTCTGGGCGTCGGAAATATGATCATGTGAGCGATGTTTTACGGCAGCTCGAGTGGGTGTCTGCTGACAACATGTTGTTATATCATACACTGACACTTCTGAAACGTACCCTGGAAAGATCCCAGCCGGAGTCGCTGTCCGATCACCTCATCCATAGACGCCATGTTCACCATTGCACAACGAGGCAGGATATGTTCATGTGCCGGTGGTCAGATCCGAATCGGGAAGGCGGCGTTTTCTTTACTCCACCATGACCGCCTACAACGCACTACCGCAGAATATTCGCGAGCTGAGCCTTCCACATCAGATTTGATTTTATTGAGCAAATCAATAACGGATAGCGACGCCTACTTTAAATGACTTTAGCGAATGTGACAGAGTGCGTTCTGCCTATATGTGTCTGCGCGTGTATGTGTTTGCGCGAGCCTCCCTGACCTACAGTGTTTTATTTCCGTGACACGTGCTCTGTAACAGTCAGATTCTGAGTGGAGTGAGCATGTGACGATTAATAAATAAATAAATAAATAACACCCTCTTGGTAGCGACCCCAGCCAGGGCAGAGAAGTGATCAGACAACGCACTTCGTTCCCGTCTCCTTGCCTGTCCACCCTTCACCATGAGGTAGAAGATAATCTGAAAATCATCCACGAGTGTCTTTATTTTCTGTATTTTGTCATACTCTTTGAGCACTGTAATTTACGCGGCTTTCTGGTAACCATGCCTACAAATACAAGAATTCCGGTTGCCTTTTGTCAGCCGAACGGAGCTGCCATTACGGTTGGAAGCCTGTAAGGTGTGCTGGAGCGTGCGATGCCAACGGCACCATACGGAATCAAGACGAACATGGTAACAGGCATGCTTCTATTTATACGAAACTCGGCATAAAGACCACCTACTAGTTTGTGAAATCACCTAGACCACCATCGAAGCACTTCCAGAAATTGGTCGAAAAGTTGGGCACGTAACTGGATCGAACTTTTAACCCCTATACCCCTGGGTGGAAAGCATGCACGCTATCTGACAAGGTGCGCTTAACTTCAAACGTGGCAAAACTCCACCTGTACATTTGCTATTCCTGAGGGTAGCTGGGGAATAAGCCCTTTATTTATGTTAAATTTCACTTCGATTCCCTTCACTATCCTTGCGTCCTATGGCGTTTGTCGCACTGACCCTGTACGCGTTGGCACCTTCGCTCTCCCCTGCACCGCGATCCCAGCCCCAGCTAGAGCCGGTGGGGGGCGCTGGTGGCAGTCGCCGACACCTGTCCTCCTGTCCGGGCCGTCGGGAGGCGCCGGCCACCGACGTACGCGTGGCACACGCACGCCGCCCGACACGCAACCCTCGCGCTCGATACACCCACGGTGACGGTCAGCAGCGGAACGAGCGCCGAAAGCATTCGCCGCGCCAGTCATAGCGACGCTTTAATTAATCGGCAATGCATATGACGGTTACAGCAATTTTCATCGCGTCATCACGCCAGCTGTAGTCTGACGACATAGCAGCTACGCATTTGTCATACCCTTTGATTCCATGATTCATCATCCCCATGATTCAAATCGCAATTAGCGCATCGCGTGTAGGTACATGGCTCCCTATTGGGTTGCATGCACAGCCTGGTCTGCTTCAGGGATATCCCAGCCAGTGGCCAGGCGGGTGTCGGATCATCCCAGCCCATGGCCGCAGACTGGAGGCCAGAGGTGGGCAGGCGCAGTGCACGGAATGCCGAACATGCATCGGTCCACGCATGCTGAATGGATTGAATAATTACACTAATCAAGGGCGATGACCAATGTCACGGACACACACCCGTTCACTATGTCGGTAACTGTTCCAGGAAGCATGTCCAGTCACCAAATACCTAGTCCCTTCCAGAAACAAGCATCAGACACGTGCTTCTGACGAGGCATTTGGAATGCTACCGGTCAATATCTACCCGCGACATTCTGGGCTACTGCACAGCACGGATGAGGGACTTCTGCCATCCGCAGCGGGCCACCGGCAATGAGATGGCCGTCATCCTCAGCCCCTCGGCCATGACCGCACGCTCGGACCTCAGCGTCACGCCGCCATCCCGCCCGGTTCCTATTAGCCGTGTGTTAGGCACGCCCACTGCACTTCAATCAAGTTCCGTTTTTGCCACGAGACCTTCGGAGACCTTCGTTGCTAAATATAGACCGCCGCCGTCGATGGTACAGCGCGAAGGATCGCACAGCCATTTAGGGGTTCTGCGACCGGGTCTCGTACAAGCGCAGCGCGCGCCACAGTGCAGGCGGACGACAGGCGGCGCGCTCCGACCCCCTCGTGTGTTAATGAGATCGAGGCGATTGCTTTCTCGACGCGAACCCTCCGACTGGTGAGGGTGATAAACGCATCTAGCTGCAGATGCGAGCATTCCCGAATATGAAATGCGCGATTCGTTGAGCGAGAGCTTGGTTCAAAAAGGCCGGTGGTAACCGATATGTTTTAAAAGCCATCGTAAAATAAGGACATGCAAAATGCACGGTCTGTGTCGGAGAGCAAGAAGTGGCCTATGGAATAGATTTATCTCATGTGCAGCGTCTCCCCACACCGTCGACGTCCTAAGTGCGTGTGTGGGCATGCGTGTGCGTCCTGGGCGACGTCGCACCGCTCCCTCCCCTTCCCCCTCCCATCCAGCCACCGATCTCCCCCACAACACTCACGTTTGCTGCCGTTCTCCGGGTTGCAGTTGGCGTCCAGCTCCATCGCCTCCTGCTGTGGCTCCTTCTGTGGCATCCCTGTTGTCATGGCAACATCCTCGGCCAAGCGCGTCAGGCGATGCTCAGCCGCCGGCGCCCGGTCCACCTCATCCAGCCGATTCTCGTTCTTGTCGACGCCGCCAGGGGCGCTGTCGGCGGCGTCGGCGGCACGCCCTGGGCTGGCCTCCGGCGCCAGCTGCGGGAACATGTAGGACGGCGGCATCTCTATGCGGCTGTTGATGCTGACGCGCACCGCAGGCGAGTCTTCTGCCTCCTGCGGCTTCCGCTGCGACTGATGCGCGCCGCTCTGATCCTGTTGCTGCTGCTGTTGCTGTTGTTGCTGTAAATGATGTTGCTGTAGTTGATGTTGTAGGTGTGATTGGAGATTCTGCTGCTGCTGTTGAAGATGTTGCTGCTGGTGTTGGTGGTGTTGCTGTTGTTGCTGCTGCTGCTTTTGCTGTAACTGCTGCTGTTGCTGTAGTTGCAACTGTTGCAGTTGATTTTGTTGCTGCTGATACGCGCCGGCTAGCTCCGGTTGTTGCTGTTGCTGCTGTTGTTGTTGCTGCTGTTGCTGCTGTTGCTGCTGCTGTTGTTGCTGCTGCTGCTCTGGTCGGTGTTGGTTGGTGTACGTGCTGGTGATCTGGCTGCGGCTGGCATAGCTGAAACAGGAGCACGACACTCATGCACTCGTCGGGACGGACAGATCACGTCGCTTGCCAGTTCCTTTCCCAGGAAAACGTGCTTCTTCTCATCTCCGGTAGACAACCAACTTGCGCTCGGGTATGGTGGCAGAAATCAGTCACCCTGCTTGAAACATTATGATAAGGGACAGGCAACACTATTGCTGGGTTGTCTCGGCTCGACCCCGAACCTTACACACAGGTAAGCATTTTAAGACGAGTTCAGGCAAGATCAGGGTCTTGCGCAACTATGGCCAAAACAGCCTCGGGGGTCTGGCGGCAAACGAAACCTGACGCCGGTGGGTGCGCGATAATAACAGAGCTCATGCAGAAGAATCAGCGACGACTCGCCAGCTTCATTATGATACCACGGCCTAGCCCTGGAGGCGCGGACCATGGTTGCTTCGTCTCAGGCAAAGGAGCAGAAGGCCGTGAACGACGCGACGCCAGACCAGCGGCGTTCGCCGTTATTGTCCAAGTTTGAATATCGATCTTCCAAATCGCCGCTTCGCTGCCAGACTATCGAGGGGCGCGAGGAAATTTGTGGCCTATGAGAGAAGCTTAACATCGCTCGCGCAATGAACGCGGCGCTTCAATTTCGGGATTGAAGAGCGGCCTTTGAGCGGAACGGCTCGGACGGGTCACGGCACCGTCAAAGCTGAATACTTCCAGTTCCCAGAACTTCGACCACGTGCCATGAGCGCGCAGGCAGGGTTTTATTACGTCGTGGTTGGTCCGTTAAAGCCCGCCACATGACGATTCCCCCCGTGAGCGGAGCATTACTTTTAACCGACACACGAATGGCGTGGACCCATCCCGCTTAACGCGCCTCACAAAACCGCAGGTACATGCTTCAGAACTATCGCAGTGGCCTTCAGCGTCACGAGTCTTCAGCACACAGTTTCGCCAGCGCGTCCGCGCGGTGCCATCCACGAACATTCCGGCCCCTCAAGACCCTCCTCTCGCGGCATCGCGCGCGCAAGACACGGCACCGGCTCCAACCAAAGCCTCACTAGGCACTCCCCTTCGGCAGCCGCAGCCGTGCCTTCTAATGTCCCGATCTGTGGCGGCCGGTGCGCTGAGCGATCCGCCATAATCACCACGGCTCAGCTGTTTGTGAGTCCGTCCCGCCGCCCACGTGGACCACACCTGACCCGCCGCCGGCACCGCTCGCTCGGATGACAATTTGCCCCGGTGTCACGCACGGGTCGGCGATAAAGCGCACATGCTGGCTGTCGCTGCCCGCACGCAGCTCAACAACACGGCTCAGGGAACGGGGGGGGGGGGGGGGGCAACACGATGGGACGCGACTGGACGGCACAAGTGCGACATTTCGTCTCGCTTCTCTCCGCACGAGCGCCGTAGAGTCGGGCAAGTGTGGCTGCAGCGAACGATAAACAGACGGAGTGAATGGGTTGCGTGGACGATGTTTGCAGACCCCGGTCCCGATAAGTGTCCCTACTAACTCCACCAGCCTCACTCGCAGCCACGTGCCTCCCCATAATATCCCCCCCCCCCTGGGGCGGGCCCCGACCCGGCTGGCGCGTCCGAGTCCTCCTCCGCTCAGGACACGTACCGGTACTGCTGGCCGACCTTGACCTGTGATCCTCGCACGGACACCTGCGTCACGTCGCCGGGCAAGCCGCTGACCTCCGGCGCCTCGCCGTTGACCCGGCCGGGGGCGGCGCCTTTGATCGGTTGACCCGAGGCCGGCTTGGGCGGCAGCAGAGGTCGGTCCCCGTTCACCTCGGCCGAGTCCGCCTAAGGAGAACGAATTCACGTGGACAATCTCATGCATGAACAAGTACACTGACGAAGCCTTCGGTAAGTGGCTGCTAATGAATTTTAAAAGGCGCTGATGGCGCGATACTGGGTTTGGCACCTCCTGGAAAGCAGACGCAATTATTGATCAACCAGATGAAGCACTGCGGACTAAACTTCTCTTCGAAGCGAGCCTGGACAAATCACGCATTTGGAATTCAGGTAGCGTGAACTTTCAACAACGCTATGCTTACAATCAGAGAAAAGCGCCAATCAGTTTTGATTGGCGAGGTTCTGGGTGGGAAAAGCAGGTTGACAAATGTCTGCCAACTTCGCTTCGGGCCGTCACTTTCGCAGCCCGTTTCTCCGAGATGTTTGGGGCCCTGAAGGCTTGGAAGGAAGCAATTCGCCACGGGCCGGAGATTTCCATATTGCCGTTTACTACACGCCAACCTCATACGGGCCTGCCTCGTCTGGTTCCACCCGCGGGCCAGCTCAAGGCAAGCCCACAGCAAAAGGAAGGTAGTCTGCGGGTGTGACGAACCAGCGGTTCTGCACGTACCATGTGGCGTGGCATGCGAACCTTAACTAAATCCAGCACGACATCTCGAACAATCAATGTGAAATCATGGACATCCCATTACAATAGTCTTCTTTGAACATGATTATGATCAATAGAAGGAAGTTCATTTCTATTAACTTTTATCTGCTGAGCGCTATAAGTTCAAAGTCTGATATAAGCTGTTTGATGTTAGCCGAGTCTGGTACGCTCACGCTCAGTGTAACAGATAAACAACCCACTCCAGCAGCGCCCGTCTCTGCTCACGTGAAGGTTGTTGGGCACGGGCGGCGCCGCGCCGCCGTGCACCCGTGATAACGAGTTGGAGACGGCGCCCACCGGCCGGGGCAGGCCCGACACCCTCGGCTGCTGCTGCGGCTGCGGCTGCTGCTGCTGCTGCGTCTGCGTCTGTAACAGGAGCACCGTCGACTGCGAGCGGGCACCACCACGGTCTGTCCCACACCGCGCCTCCCACGCCGTCTCCAGCGTCCCAGCGGCGGCTGGGGCACGCGAGCCGGCGGGACCGGACTGGGTTCCCCGGACAGTGAGGCGGCCAGCGCGTCAGCTGACACAGGAAGCGGCAGCCGAGATACGGCGGCGGCCGGGCGCGCTATCTCGCGCCGCGGACCTCGGTGGCCTCCGCCGTCGCCGTCGGGCGCACCGACAGCTCCAGCAGCAGGCCGAGTTGTTTGTGGCCGGGACAGGGCCGTAAAGTCGGACGCCCGATGGCAGGGTGCGGCGCGAGCTATCGTGGCGAGATTAGAGGAAAATAGTGGGCTACAGAGACGGCACCCAGAGCCAGTACAGCAATAGAAATAAAGCGGCGGTGGCGATTCTCCGCATACTAATGGCGCGAGCGTCGTTCCGATGTAGAGGGAAGATCTTTGTGATTGTAGGTGTGTGTTCAAACAACATGATAATGCGGCAGTGTGAAACTCATCAAGTGCCTTTGTCTGTTCCTGAAAACCACTCGGACATTTTAGAAGTCTCCCCGTGCTTCTTTCTTTCCTCTTCTGTGCTTCTCCACATCAGTCATGGTACGGCCGATTCGAGAGCGGCGGACATAATGAAATGCGCATTTATAAGCCATGCTAATTCACAGCACCTGGGCATTACAACAATCTTACAAAAACTGTCAGCATATTACGTTCGCGGGAATAGAAAATCCAAAGTGCAGTTCGCCGATTCCGTTCAAGGGATGCGTGACAAAATCCCAGGATACTGCAATCTTTCTCCGAGCTTCAGTTTCTACCTTATACAGGGATCACTTCAAGCAATGAGACAGTGAGGAATCCCTGATTATGCAATCATCGAGGTGAGATTCTAACGGGACTGCACTACGGCCAATGCATTATGCAATGCTGCCAACGTATCTGGATTTACCGACGATTTACATAAGCCCGCTTCAATCTCCGCGCCAAAAGCTCTAACTACTCCCCGAGGTGTCAGTGCTGACCACAAAGAATCGCTCGACTGTGTGCTGTCCATTACAGGAGGCCGCCACACTCGACACGGCTAGACGTTGCAGCGCCGCCCCCTCCCCCCCCCCCCTTTCGTACCGACACGCCTGTCCATCCCATCGCCGCTCGCCACGTCCCCTGAAACATTAACGGTGTCGACGGCGCCGATTATTCGTCGGCGCCGGCCGGCCGTCGCCACGCACCAGCCGCGCCCGCCGTCCGGTAACGGTCGCCGAGGGGCGCGCGTAAATCGGGCCGGCCGGCGACGGCGGCCACGGAGGCGTCGTGCTCGCGGCGGTATGTCACGCGGTCTCCGGAAGGCCGCGACGGGAGGCGGAGCGCGGGACCGTCCGACCGCTCCCTCCGACGACACGGCGCTGGTCATCACAACTCGGGCTCGCCCACCGCGAGACAGCGATGAAGCATAGCAGCGAGTGAGGAAAGGGTCACGATTACGACGGAGGAAACTCCAGCTGCGTAGCGGCGCAGCCGAGTCACATCGCAGCGGCGTTGCTGACGACAGGCGGTATCGCAGGCTGCTCCGTTTGCGCGAACCACATCAAAGACGGGTGGCCGCCGCAGTGACGTCACTCATCACCCGGAGCTGACCCTGACAGCCTGCGTCGTTTGTCTATCGCGGCAGCGGACGGGGAGCAGGAGGCAGCGAGCTTACGCTGAGCTTCTCATCATACTTCGATCCGGAGCGAGGATTCAAGGAGTCTGGCCGAGATGAAAAGGGTCATGTTCCTGGCTTGGATGGAAGACAAAACGGCTTATCCCATCCACGCGGCGTGTAAGCTGACTTGGAGGCATTTTTATGCAGAGGATAGGATAGCTTTCAGGAGGAAAGCTTCTGTTTCCGATGGGCCTCAAGCTGACACACCGCAAGGTAAGCCACACTCGAGATTCACAGCGCGCCGCATGACACCACCAGACTAAAAACAGGCTAAACCCAGCGCCCCATCCGCCGGTGGCTCCCCAGTCCACCACCGCCGGTCACCAGCAACTGCGGACCGCGGGCTGACCGAGCCGCGCGGCATCCCGCCCACCGCACGCGCCTCCGCGGCGGCCGTCGGCGGAGCCATCACTCACCAGGGCGCGCTGGCTGTACAGCTGCTGCGGCAGAATCGCCGGCGACACCCCGCCGCCCTGCCGGCCGAGACAGCGTCAGTGTCAGCAGCTGAGGAGCACTGCCCATCACTCGCCGCACACAAACACGGCCAGCTGGCCAGCTGTGCCGCCCGCCGGTGCACAAGCGGCCAGCGGCGGCGCAGCGGGCTCGCCGCACGCGGCGCCGGCCGAAAGGTCACCGAGCGCGTCCCATCACTGGGCGGCTGCCCTCGGGGAGCCATCGGCGCGGCTGGCGACCGTATTGGACTGTGGTCCGAGCCGCCGACGCTCGGCGCCGATGCAAAACAGCATGTCCGAAGCAAGCGGGGTCCTGACTCAAGTGTGTTTTGCCCTCCCACGTCCGCTCACATAACTAGAACTGAGAGTGTCACGGGTTTGCTTTGTTTCGCTCAGATGTAAGACGCGTCCGATTTAACCAATAATGTCAACGGTTTCCTGCTTGGTTTGCCATAGGTCTGAATTTACGTTGGAGTATCCGCTTCGGCGGAGGAAATGTGATTAGACTCTCCAGCCATCACTAGGAACATGATATTTCCCGCTCGCTTTGCTTTTCTCAATATGCATTGTTCGGGAGTGTACCGCATCGAAGCGCGGCCGCCCACCAGGCGGGCACGGACAGCGTGGCACGCGACTCCCAGCCTGGCGAGAGCGGGGAACCACGCAACGATCGCCTCATCAATTGGCTCCCGCGGGAACTGATCAAGAGGTCGCCGAAAGCCGAACGCTGTGACTGGCCGCGACGGCTCTCCCGCCGCGCGGGAGCACCGTGGAGTATGCGCAGGCCAGCACACGGAGACCGGCGCCTCCGGGGGCGACGCAGTCACCCCGCTGGCGGGTGACTTCTCACGGACGCCACAGGGGTAATATCTGACGCCAAGGCAGGCCATTTTCCCGATCGGCCGAGCGCAGGGAAGCGTTCCTAGCTCGCCGGCGGCGACGAGGCGCCCGCATACTTCGCGCCGGCCCGCCGCCCGGAACGTTAATTAAGCCGGGCCCCGGAGGCGGCGGCGTCGTGTTTACGCTGATAAACATGATCGACGGCCAGAGCGAGTGGAGGCTGACATCGGAAATAATGCGCGCCAGTAAATCTGGCGCGAGACGGCCGAAGGCGCCGGCCTCGGTCGCAGCAGCTGACTCAAGACGGACGTCGACCAACGTCATTAAGCGAGGAAACCAACGACGCAGGAGGAGCCATCCGCAGTCGTTCGGCCGAACCGTGCAGCTATCTGACAAAAGTATGGAGCAGTCTCCCACGTCTGTCAGCATTCAGCAGCCGAATGAACGCCCGGGTCAACGGGTCGCATGAGGCCGCAAGACGCAGGCAGTCGTTGAGATAGATTTAATTGTGCCTTGGCAGCACTTATGAGAAGACTCATTGCTCGGCGCCGAATTCATTCTGCGTTAGTACGATTCCGTAATCGACCCTTTGCGAACCGACCAATAAAGGGCACTAAGGGTCATACGAGGTCATAAGCGACGCAAGTAGCATATCCCCAAGGGATGCTAGCACGTTATGTATGCTAGAATGTGATCCACGTTAACATACGCGAAAAATATAACATATATCTAGGGGATGCCGGGTTGCTTGGATTAGAGCCCTTTCGGCCAAAATGATCATTTTTGGGCTATGGGATGACACACAATGGTTAACGGTTGGGCAGACTTGCATGCGCCTAGGGAGCCAACCGTCGAGCTTTAAACCGTGCATGTGTGCTGGGTACCCGGTCGGGGTCCCCCTTCCCACAAGGCTCTCGGCCCACTGGTGGCTGCCACATGCAGCCTGCCCCGGACAAGCGTAAGGTTGCGAGGATACAGGATAAAGCAAGATAAAGGATGACAGGGTCGGATGGGGATACTGGCTGCCTCCACAATTTTCAGTGTAACATCTACAGGGCTGACCCTCGCTACGTTGCCCCAGTCGGTCCTTGACAGGCCAGATGCATTACAGCACTCCTGCGGAAGCATCCCATCGCCCAAAGTGGCTCTACCCACGAGCGAGTTGCGCTCACTAGCGTCAATGCCCGCTACACAGCGGTGTGAGCACGCACGCCACAGTCGTCAGCCGGCTGCCCGGCACTCACCTGACTGTGCGCGCCACCTAGCGGCGGCGCGCGCGGCCCGGCCGGGCGCGGGATGGCAGACAGGGCGGCGGGCGGCGACAGCGTCGGCTCCGGCTCGTCGGCCGGCCGCTCCGGCGCGCCCGCCTCCTTCACGTGGAACTTGGTGTTGTACGGCAGCGTCTGGTACTTGGGGTCGCTCTTGTTGAGGCCAAACTCGGCAGCCTCACCGATGTCGTCCTGCGCGCGCAGCGCCGCCGCCGGTGGCAGCGTCTTGGTTTGTCGTACCTGCCGCTTGGCGGCGCTGGCGGCGTGCAGCTGCGACGCCAGCTGCTGGTTGTGCACGCGCTTACGATGCAGCCGCTGCTGCAGCTCGGCGATGCGTTTGTCGATGCGCGCCATCTCGTCTCGCCGCTGGCCGAGCGTCTCCGTCTGGCTGGCCAGCTGCGAGTGCTGCTGCTCGTTCAGCTTGTTGCGGTACTGGAACGGGAGAGCAGCGACGCGTCAGATGACCGCAGGCATCAGGAGGCGGGCCACCGCCACCGCCACCGCTGCGCCGCACCGCCGCCGAGACGTGCTAATCGCGCGCGCAAAAAGGCCGACAAAAAGCTCTCGACGGGAGCACCGGTTATGATTGCCGGTCGTTCACGCCCGGGCCGCACTGAAGAGGTGGCTATTGCGCGCGGGTCTGCTCGCCACCGGCCGGTGATTTCCTCCGCCGTCAGCTGGCTGGCCACGTGGCCCGCAACCGGGGCGAAATATGTCAGCCGTCCCGGTGACAAGCGGCGTGCGATTCCGGCGCGTTTACGTGCCCCAGCGTTTCCAATCACGACGGCCTTGAGCCAATCATGGCGCGGGGCAAACGGCAGCACATTTCCAATGGCCGAGCGGCGCTGCAGCGGCCGACAGGCCATGGCTGGGCCGAGGTCGGAGTAGACGTATTGCAGCTGGCGAATCCAATTTCGCCGCAGTTCATTCATCGTTGAACGACGTCCAATGGGCTTTTCTTCTTTTGGCGCCGCAATGAGGTCGTCAAGCGCAGAGATTACATGCCGTGTGCGCGGGACTCATCGACCACCCAGGGCCTAAACAGCGTGATTAAGTTCGTACCTCCAGGCAGCCGAGAACAGGAAGTTTTGACAGACTTTCAGGCGTCTCCGAAATCGTCGCAGAGCTAACGGCTTCCATGGTACAAGCCAGCCGCCCATTACGCCGCAACAAAGGCAGAAGCGTGCACATTCGGTCCGTTATGGCCCCATTGATATATTAACTTCTCCAGGCGAGATTCAGCGACAGCCTTGTTTGAACGACAGGCCACGGCAATTAAGAAGCACGCGCGGCTGAGCAAGTTAATTGCAGAAACGCCGGCATCAAGGGTACTCTTGTGACGCGTGTTCAGGACCACTTTGGTCGTTCGACGACACAAAGTTGCGTGCGTTTTGTCGGAATTTTCGGTCGTCCGAACAGGGACATGACGCCCCGGGGCTAGTTAGGGGACGAGGGTAGGACTCTCCGGATCCATAAGCCGAGCAAAGGACGCGGGCGAGAAAGCGCGAGGACTTTTAGAATTGGCCACACCAAACAGGGTGAGCAGGGCGCGGATTTTTTTAGTTGGCGGAGCCGGAGATACGGCTGAGCAGATCGCCAATGACGCGCTCCTCTACCTCGGCAGACTGTGCACGGCACGCTGGCCGTAAGGGCTATTCAGCTGGGGGAGTATGGACTTTAAGCCAGTCCGCGCTGAGACGATATCGAGCGGTGGAAGACAAACTACCCAGCGCCGCCACTGACAGTTGAATGAATATACGTTGCCGCGTTACAAGAACACGTAACGTCAAACCCGCGCCGCAAATGCATGGCCGCGGGTCGGCTTGAAATGACTTGGCGGCGACCGCGCCATACTGCGCCGTCATTGCCAAATGGTCTCAGGCCACGCCGCGCGGCGTGGCCACACCCGTGACCCGGCCGGGCGCCGCGTCACGGGTCACGGAGGACGGCCGCCACGTCAGCGCGTGACGCACGCTCGGCCGCCCATGGCGCGGCGCGGGCCGTGTTGTTGTTTGGCCGCGGCGGCGGCGCTGTCCTGACGGCCGGCCGTCCACTGCCGCCGCTCGGACGCCGCATGGTGTTAGCGCATGGACGGGCCACGGCCGCTGTTTGGACGCCAGCCTGTTGGTGTTTGGACAGCGGCGGTCGGCGCCGCTGCGCCTGTCCGCGCGCGCTCGGCGCCCGTGCTCAGATCAGCGAGCTGTTTCGCGTCACGCGCGGCTCGTGACGCATCGGCCGTGTTTACAGACTGGGCATGGCTCTCAGTCGATGATGAGCGACCGCTCAGCGCTCCGGCTGGCAGGCTGTACCACAACATGAACAGCGATACTCGCTGCAGGCCTCGCCACGGTCGCATGCGATGATTTGGGTCATACAGTCAGAGGCGCATCAAATGCAGATGGGGAGTGACACATGATGGAAATCGACTGGATTCCTGGTCCGTGTTTTTCTAGGTGGGCTTCCACATGATTCCAGCCCCCACACACCCACGTGAAAAGCGACCACATGAATAGCTGTGTTTCAAGCTGCATGCCATACGGCCTCGAACAGGAGAGAAAGGAGGCCGAGAGTGCACTTTTGCCGCTGATTGAAACCGGGGGATCGCATCGCAAAGCTATCACATTGGTTATTCATCATTCCGCGTCGCGTTGCAGATGAGAGACGAAGTGGACATCTGCGAGAAAAGACACTCGATTGAGGCAGCGCACGGATCCCGATCTGTCCGGTAAGTGGTAGTTAGTGGTAGTCAGTGGTGGTAGTGGTGGCAGCGGTGGTTAGTGGTAGTGGTAGTAGTAGTTAGTGGTGCGGGCATCGTCACACTCGCGTCCGTCACCCCCACACCGTGCTGCATGACGAGAGAACGGCATAAATTGGTGGGACGGCGTACCCTGCGGAGGGGGAAGGGGAGGAGGACGGGTCTCACCACAGCAGCCTGGCAGCAAACGGCACCGGCGCCGCCGCACAGGCCGCGTGGCTGCGCGGCCGGACACGGGGCGGCACGCCGGACAGGACGACAGGACAGGACAGCCGGACAGGACGGCGACCGTTGACCGCTCGTGTGTCCGCTGCCCCTGGACACCCCCGCGACACAGCTGGCGACGGGGCTCCAGACGGCGGCGCCAGCTCAGCTCCTCACCATCAGCTCGCGGCGCAGCTTCTCCAGCTCCCGGTGGGTGTCGCCCTGCGGACCCTGCTTGAGCTCCCGGCCGCGACGCACCTCCTCCAGCTGGCGCGTCATCTCCTCCACCCGCGCCACCGCCAGCGACAGCTCCTTCTCCTTCTCGTTGAACAGCGCCCGGATGTTCTCCAAGTCAACGCCTGCCACGCAGAACGGACACGGATGCTTTGTTACGAACCATATGATGTGTGCTCTGCTCTTGGGAGATACTCACTTCCTTTTACGTGTCCGTGTTAGCAGCAGCAACGTCAGAATATCAACACCTGGAGGGGGTTCATGGTCCGCAACCATCAATTATCCATTGTGGTGTGAGTACAGATAGCGACTTTGAGCCTAGTTGTAAGCTGAAACATGGAATAGTTAACGCACTTAACAAGCCACGACGTCACGGCCATAACACTGCTTTGTTTGAATGCACGACTCCACCCCGGCCCAGATTCACGATCCAACCCTCCATAAATTTGTCGCAAAATGGAGATTTTGGACTCATAAGCCAAGGCGCGGCGAAGGAGCCATCCTAACAACCAGCTGAAGCTGGCATTAAAGAGAGGCGCGCACACTCATCGCCGCTTCCACAGGACCTCATCGCACAGCTGCAAGTCCGTCCGCACGGCGCCTGCAGATGAGGCGAAAGTGGCGGCGGGAGAAAACTCACTGTTCTTAGTGTGAGAGCTCCTCCGTAAGCCCCACCCCAGGGGATATCCAGCTAACGAGGCAGGCCCAGGGCGCGCGAGGAGCCAGGCAAATACCACCGTCTCCCTCGGTGTATAGTGGAGAGCACCCAAAACCCAATACCGCCGGCTGGCGCTTTTAACCACGACTATAAACCCGGCCTATGAGCCACGAGCGAGCGGTTCTCAAACGTGACTACGCACCCGTCGCAGCCCAGCAGCCAGCGGTCGTCAAATACCGCCGCCCATGCCGACTCCGGCGGCTGCGGCAGGCCGCTGACGCTGGATTGCCGGCCTGGGCCGTGGAGTCGATTATCCATAGCGATGGTATTGACCGCGGTGGCCGCGTCCCCCGGGGCCGCGGAGCTGAAGCGGCGCAGACCGGTCCGCGTACCAGACCGGTCCGGTCTCCGTGCATCGGTCTCCGGTCCGCGGCCCCGCCCCTGGCGGGGCCGCAACGGTAATGCCTGTACCGCCGCCAACCCATGTCACCGCTGACGGTGAAAGCACTCCGTGGCCGGCTGCGGCGCTCTCTCCGCCCGGCGGCCCGGGTCACGGGGGTCACGCTGACCGGCCAGGTCAGCGGAGGTCATCTGCAGCCTCCCGGCGTGGAGCCGACGTTGCGTTGCGTAATTTCCGACGGTAAAGTCTTCCCGTCGACTGACTCTGGAGCAGTTCATGACTTAATTCGCAGCCGAGGAGACTACGGCGGTTAAGCACGGTTTAATCCAGTTAGTATAGCTGGAAACATTTTTAGAGCACACAACTTTCGCGAGCCAGTTAGGCCTCGGTGTATTCGGTATTCATTGGAGCGACGAAACAAGCAGGCATCCCGAATCCAATTAAGCCAGCAGTATAATAGACCGCAGCATGCTCGCCTGCCTGTCCCCGGGGACAGAAGGCTGATCGGCGGCGAGTGCACAGAGAGCGACGGTGCAGACCACCACCCAGTCGGCTCGGACTGAGGATATATTGCACAGGTATATGGAATCAATGAGCGTCATGCCCCATCATCGAGACAAGCTTGCGCCGGCCGCAGCGAAGGTCCTGGCGCTGCCGGCACAGCCAGAAAGAGCAACAACCACGGATGTGCCGTGCAACTCCGCAGAAGAGAGCGTGTCTCGTCGATTCAGCTTCGGGACAGGCCGGACTAAAGTAATGGTGACTTAAGGTCATCTCTGGTTTCTCAGGCCGTGGTGGGGCGCTCGGTCACCTCAACGATCCACTTCCTCATAACACGGCACGACGAAACGCAACGAGAGGGGGCGAGGACATCCCTTCCGACTCCCCGACTTCAGAGCCCAGGTCGTGGTTTGAAGGTCATGGATGATGCGACAGGCTGCGGGCGACGGCCTCCGGCAGCCCCTCATCAGCAGCCATCAGCTGGATGACAGGCTCGTGTTCGTCGCCGGGCCGTTCGCCGGGCCGGCGGCGACTTCAGAGCGTGCCCCCGCAGACGTTTGGTACCCCGGCAGCACTGGGAGTCGCCATCCGACTCATCGGCCACTCCGAGTCGCCACTTGACGAGCGACCGGGCGGCACAGAGCTGCGAGCTGGCGGGACGGCGCCTCCACGCGAGGAGCACACGTGGCCTGGGCGCGCCGCCGCTCCTTCGGTTGTCTGTCTGCCGCGGCTGTGCTACAAGTTGAGCGTACAGAAGCTGACGTGCGGTTTGGAGGACTTCGGCTCAGTATCTCGCTTCGGCCACGCTGCCCACAGGGGAGCACTGCGGAAAAGGTCACGCCCGACGATCGGCGTGCTGCCGTGGCCGACGAACGACGAGCAACGCCTCAGCGGGGCCGCCGTCGTCGTCAGCCGTCGGCCGCCAACGGGGCCGCCGTCGTCGTCAGCCGTCGGCCGCCAGCGAACGTCCCACGGAGGCGGTCAGTTACGAATCAACTCCCCAACGTCGGCAATACCGTCGTGCGATGACGAACCTGACTTCAACATATGAACCGAGCCGCGAACGACTGCGATCCCGCCAGAGCGTGACGTTCCCTCTCGTCTCGGAGCGACCAGCCAGCGCCGACACGGCGGCCGTGCCTCGAACCGCCGCCGCCGGCCGTGAGTAATGACCGACTCATCAGACACACACAGACACACACTTACACGCTGCCTAAGCAGGGCGCGCGGCCTGCGCGGCGGAGCCCCCGGCGGGGCCGCCGGGCAGCGCGGCTCCGGCGCCCCTGTTTACCGGCGCCGAGACAAACAGGCCGCGTGGAGGACCACCGCGTTTAAAGCTAACGATCAGGCTCGTTACGGAGAAGCGGGCGCGGGCGCACCGGTGGGACGACCGCTCTGAGGATGTCAGGCGGTGGGCGCAGGGCGCGCCGCCAGGAGAAGCGGGCGCGGGCGCACCGGTGGGACGATCGCTCTGAGGATGTCAGGCGGTGGGCGCAGGTCGCGCCGCCAGGAGGAGCGTCGATCGCAACGTGTAGCAGTCATCTTTTTGTGGCCGATATCGTTGGGCTGTGGAAGGTTGCAGAGCGGTTTTCCGTCGCTGGCGTGCATAAACCACATGTTATACGGTTGAAACAGCGCTGCTGTTAATCCAGACAAGCTAATCCCGCGTCGGGACACTCCCTGCTCGCAGCTTCCCACCGTGCTAATCCTTTTGGATATGTTGGGCACTTCTTAACAAGCCCGTTCTTGATGCGGATTTAAGAGCTGTTCCAGAGTGGGTGCCGTCCAGTTCTGGAATTGCCAAGACCACTATCACGAGCACGGGGAGGTCTACACGGATCCAGGGTCCATTTCGCCTTAACTATCAATCATGGTGAACACGACATGGAGCCCGCAGTGCCATTCACGTCGCGTGTCCCATTATGCCGGGTCATAAACAAGCCTCGACAGCCTCGAGGCTTGTAAGTGCGGACGATTCGCCCAGGCCGCGTGCATATTCAGGCCCACTTCCCAGTGTTATGGCAAAATCCATAGCGAAATCCGAACAGTCCCGAACAATCCCAAATGGCGCCGGAGCATCGGGGCGGACATCAAAGCGTAGGCGAATCCAATGAACCACTCGGCGGCGGGCGAGATGAGACTGCATTGCCGCAGGCGCCCCGATCCCTGCTAAACGGTCCACTGCTTCGGTCCCTACCGAACGGTCCACTGCCCCGGTCCCTGCTGAACGGTCCCCTCGACCGGCGCCGGGCCGCTTACCGGGCGGCCGGCTGACTGGACTCGACCGGCGCTGGGCCGCTTACCGGGCGGCCAGCTGACCGGACTCGACCGGCGCCGGGCCGCTTACCGGGCGGCCGGCTGACCGGACTCGACCGGCGCCGAGCCGCTTACCGGGCGGCCGGCTGACCAGTCGGCCGAGGCTACCGCCCAGGGAGAGAGCCCAGACCGACTCGCCGTCTAGCTACCCCGCGGACTAGTCAGCTCCTTCGGCGGCGACGTCCCAGCTGCTCCCTCTCCAGCTGTGTCAGGACCGTGCCGGATACTGCGTGCGTGCGCGCGTGTGCGCGTGCGTGCGTGCGTGCGTAGAATGCCAGCGATATCTCACATGCTACGCAGCGCCTGTTGTAGGCAGCCGGCGCGAACGCTGCTCACTGTAAGCCACTTCCGATTTTCACCAAGCCCCGGACTCCAACAAAGCCGGGCCCACGCCTTGGGGCTTACCGCCTCGCTCAGACTCGTCAACAGGGCTCGCCGTAAGTCGGAACACATGCCTGCTTGTGTGTTTTCAGCAAAAGTCCGCCCGCTCCAGAACTATTAGGGGTAGATATCCCAATTAGGGGTAGATATCCCAATTTTCATACATCATTTGACCAGAAACAACCTTTTAAAATAAGTATGCAAGATCACAACTGCGAGGAAATGGATAACCTCCGAGAAATATGTGATGAAAACATATCACACTTTCATGCACGTTGACAACGTAGCAGACCACCGCAACAACTTCCTTTACCTAGCCAGCCAAGTGACGCTCCCACCCCGCTCCTGCCCACGGGCGTGAGACGGTGCGGGGCAGCACTGCCACCTCCCCGCCGACGGCGGCCCTTGTACGGCGGGGAGCTCTGCCACACCTTCACGACCGCCGGTCTGCCGTCGGGTCCGACGACGCCAGCCTGCCGTCTAAACTCCGGGCGGCCAGCGTCGGTCGTCCCCGGCTCCGCCCGGCTCCGCCCGGCCCGTCAACGGCCGGTCGCTGTTTGGGTGGGGGAAGCCGGCGGACGGGACGCCATGGCGGCTACAGCGCAGGGGACGGCTGAGTGTGATATCACCTCATCGCTTCGCTGACATGTCTAATTCCGCCTGCGTCGAAATCTGACACTGGTTTGCGTCGCTTGCACGTTCTCTGGTTCAAACATCCGTCGGGAAAGCAAGAACAGAGTCCGGTTATATAACTCCATCACAGCCGTGTTTGTTTGTCTCGCGCCATAGTCGGACCACTTGCAGTAAGAATTCTGCAGTCCAGCATCGCGTGTCGAGGCTTCCGTGATTGCCTGCCCACGCCTGTGCTT